TGTCTCTCCTGAGTCCCCTGCTGGGCACTGGCCTGTAACCCAGGCATGTGCCCTGACTGGGAATCGAACTGCGACCCTCTGGTTTGCAGGTCCGCACTCAGTCCACTGAGCTACACCAGCCATGGAAAGGATTCCCTGGTTTAAAAAGGATAAAAACATGCTGGGCAAATGCTAACAATAAGTAAAAGCCAAGTTACGGCTTTACTGTCATTGGGTGGAATTTAAGGCAAATAAAACACATAATGAAAAAGCATATAATTCTAGAAACATTATGTGTAGTTAATAAAAGTAAAAACCTATGAAACTGAAATGTAATCGTTCGGGAAACTTGAATTTGCCCCTCAGCGTGACGTTCCACTTTGCAAAGGAAATGCTCCCTTGTTGGTATTCAGATGCGTTATTTCCGGGTGATAAGACAACAGCATTCCCAATTCCCAGACCAGGCCACACTCCCTAGTTAAATTCTCATTGTACACCATAGCTCTCTTACATGGCTTGTGTCACAGGTTGCAGTTTTTTACTTATTTGTGTGTTTTATTGCATTACTTGCCCGAGTCCCCCTTGGGAATACCATCTGATGCAGAACTTAATGTGGAGCAGACTCTTGTTGAATGAACTGTATGTGTCCTCTGAGGGTGGGAGATAATACATGTCAAGCTGTTGTAACATTTCGCACTGAAGAGAGGAACTAGGAAAGTCTGTTTTTTACCCAGTACTTGCAATGGACTTTTCCAGAGCACAATGCCATTACAAAAATAACTAGGACACTTAAAAATATGTGATATTCGAGTGGTTCTTTCAAATGAAAAATAAGAATTCATTTGTACTGCTCCCTACCTTTCACTAACTTTGTATTTTTAAGGACTTCTAATAAAGACTGAGCAAGTCAAAGAGGTTGCTCAAGCCGTTCTATAGACGTGAAAGTTGGCAGCTGCTGCTGGTAAATAGCTCAGGCCCAAACTTCATGAGTCTTCTCTGAGTCTTCCGAGGACTCAGATATGTGCCTTTAGACACACTGGCTCAATATTACTCATTCGCCTCAAAATAAACAGACATAATAAACAGCTCCCTTCTCTGGAAGGGAATTTCTCTTTCCCCCAGTAAGAACCCATTCATAATTACCTCCACTGCATTCCTCTCTTGGCAGGTAGACAGTAAGTGAAAGATAACATAATTCCCCCAGGCTCTGGTGAGTCAGCCCCACAACCTGGAACAAAACCTAGGTTTACTGATGGCGAAGACCAAAGTCCGAGAGGCTCAGCCCTACCTTCCCTGCAACACCGCTTGTTCCATAAAGTGACTAAACAGTAAATTATTTACTCTGGGTCTTGCTCTACAAGCACCACAAGTTTCAGTCCAGGCTCTCCGGGCGCATGCAATCCGTGGGAAGAGAGAACAAAAGGGGCCAGCAGATGGAGAACATATTCACACAGATGGAGAAGTTCTGACACCTAATGCCCAGAACAGTGTCTGCAGTTAACAAAACTGTATTGTATACTTGAACTTCGCTGAGAGAGTAGATCTTAACTCTTATCACCACACATACACACACACACAAAGGTAAATACGTGAGGTGAAGGATGTGTTAACACAAAGCCTTAATGTGGTAATCATTTCACTATGATATATATACACATATGTATATATATATAAAATCATCACACTGTACACCTTAAATTTACACAGTGTTATCTGTCAATTATATATTAATAAAGCTTGGGGGTAAAGATAGTATATTATGAGCACGCCTCACTGCACATGCTACTTGACAGTGTAGAGTAAAAGGAGGAATGTGTAAGTTTGGGGCTCACTATTTTCTAGGGTCAGGAATCTACGAGCTTCCTTAATTTTTTAATCTTCTGTTTGAGTTCTAGCTCATTCTACTCTAGAACTTCACTGACTCCTGAGTAGCAGAGCCTTTGCAAGAAGTTTCAGATAAGAGTGTAGGTGAGTGGATCCAGGCAATTAAGAAAGGGCATAGACCCCAGGAGAAGGCCACTCTGAGGCTCAGAATCAGGCGCTGCAATTTCTGTGCAAGTGTAGCTCCACTGAGAATAGGGGCCCAAGGCAAATGGTTCCTGAATTCCTGTTGGAGGAAGTCAGAACAGACGTGGCCCCGGGCACTCTTGTCTTATGTTGGCTGGTTGGGAGTGAACAGTCTTCCCCTCCTGTCCCCTCCCCCTGAGAATGGCCATCACAGGTCTTTGTCCATGCTCCAGAATGTCCTGAAGGACCATCTCCAGCTTGCAGCCAGGGATTGTTTGTTTATCCACTTCACCTCCTGCTTGGCTGTTTTCTCTCTGCCAAGCCGTGTGTGGGAAAGTAGGTCACAACATGGTTTAAAATAATTCTTACAATTAAAAGTACAACACAGCCTTCCCAATCATTGTATCACTGTGTTATTACCAATGTTGAGCAGAGGTTTGTTTTTAACTGTTATTTGGTCATGGTTCTTGAGCAATGCCTTATATAACTTTGCAAAAGTAACACTCTCATTACCTACGGATTCCTAAGCCCTTTCTTCCACCACCTCTTTTGTCTTGCAACATGATCTTTAGTTCATTTCTAACTCCTTATTCCCTTTCAAGCAGATGCCTTTAGCATTCTCATCTACTTTTGCTTTCTGGTATCAGAATCAGAGTCTCCCTCTTGCTTTATGTGAGTACATGTGTTGCTGATATGGTCCTGTCCCTTTAATTTAAGCTTTTTATTTGGAAATAATTTTAAACTTGCAGAAAAGCTACAAGAGTAAACACACAGAGCACCAGTAATGCTTTGCACAGATTCACCTATTGTTAGTATTTTTCTACATATGCTTTATCATTTGTTATCTCTCTACCCCCAATGTATTTTCTGAACTATTTGAGACTAAGTTGGACATTTACTTATAAATACTTCAGTTGTATTTCCTAAGAATTAGAATTTTTCTCTTATCTAACCATATATGATTTTCAACTTCAGTTAATTTAACATTATACCAAACTTCTATCTAATTTAGTGTCCAAATCCCAATTTTGTCAATGACCCAATAATTTCTTATATAGTATTTTCCTCTTCCATTACAGGATGCAGTCTAAGGCCAGATATTGCATTTATTTATCCTGTCTCTTTAATCTCTTTGAATCTAGAACATTACCCCAGCCTTTGTTTGTCATTTATGATATTGACCTTTTTTAAGGAATAGATTATTCCTTGTTTTGTGTTTGTCTGGCTTTCCCCTCGTGGTTAGATTCGGGTTATGCACCCCTGGCTGAAACACTGCACCGGTGAGGCCATGGCCTTCTCCTTGCATTACAGCTAGAGGGGCATGCTGTCCATCTGCCCCTCCCTGGTGGTGCTCGTTTGAATAACCTAGTCAAGCTGTTGTTCGGTTTCTCTACCATACATTACTGCTTTTCCCTATTCACTGGTAAGCAATCTGCGGGAGACTGTTTAAGCCCATACACATATGCTCCTCCTCAGAACTCGCCCCCCTGTTGGTCCAGTATCCATTGATGATTCTTGCCTAACCAATCTTTACATTTTTAAAAGATTTTATTTATTTTATTTTTCGAGAGAGGAAAAAGGAGGGTGAAAGAGGAGAGAAATGTTGATGTGCAAGAGATACATCAGTCAGTTTCCTCTTCATGCCCCCAACTGGGGGCCTGGCCCTCAACCCAGACATGTGCCCTGACTGGGAATTGAACCATTGACCTCTTGGTTCCCAGGTTGGTGCTCAATCCACTGAGCCACAGCAGCTGGGACCAATTACTAATTTTTTAGCATTTACTGTGTTCCAGGTAACGGTTTAGATAATTCATAGACATTATCTCTCACTCTGACAACAGTCCTGTCAGGAGGCCTGGGGTTTGTGTGAGGCAAGTGAGGTACTCACAGGGTATGAAACTTGAGAGGGAAGGGACAGTAAGATAAATTATGTATACTTATAATTTTAATGCAATAAAATGATGTTTTATTTCTCATGATGTTTTAAAGCAATATTTCAATGCTACTTTAAAATTTTTATCTATTGACTTTTAGAGAGAGAGAGTAATGATTAGTAGCTACTCCAGCTTTCACGCCACATTTACCAGTTGGCATCCAGCAGTGTTCTGGAAGTAAGAGTCCTCCTCTTGCCTATTTATTTGAAATATGGATTCCTAATTTTTTCCAAAGGCCTATATACTTCATTAATGTCCTTAGTTATTAAATTATCCCAAATCTGGAGAGTGGAAACCCCTTGAACCTGGCTCCTGTATCCTTGGGACATGTTTTTAAATATTCCCTTACTTGCTGCAGTGACAAGATGCTCCAGGCTCATCTGTGCTGTCCCCTCCCCATCCCTAACTTCTGTTCTAAGGCCATCCTTAGAGCCTGTTTAGAAGGAGGAATGTTTGAAGGTGATGCTCTGAGTAGCAAAGAAGGAGAGGGTCCCAAAACGCCATTGTGGTCAACAGTTTCAGATGCAACTGGATGGCTCATGGCAGGCACATCACATTCTCCACTGCCATCTTAGGCAGGTGCTCTGGACAAGGAGAGAGGCGCTTGGACCGCGTAGTTTCAGTTACTGAGTCCTCTACTTCATGCTGGGATCAGTGAGAAATACAGAAGATTATAAGACACCATTCCAAGGAGACTGTGGTCTAACAGGATAGACATACATGGACCGAAACACCCATAGCACACCCCCGAAAGTGTTTTCACTGTGCTGTCAATGAGGCCCATAAGGAAGTTTGGGGAGTTTTGGGATGAGGAACCGTTCTTAAAGCTGGGAGAAGGCTTCACTGAGGTGACTTTTGGGGTTAGATCTTGAAAGAGGTAGAATTTGAAAAGACGGTTTTCCTGTTGAAAAGTTGCTATGTATGAACCCTGAATCAGGTAATTACTTTGCAACTTTATGCAACTAGCTCTTGCCCCTCACTAGATGCTGTAAGTAAGGCACATAGAACTCCAGGGAGTATAGGACATGACGTCCAGCTCAGGAAAGAACTGTCGTGATGCCATCTAATTTTTGTTTTCAGGTACAGATGAAACATGTCCTTCATTCACCAAATTGAGCTTCCACAGCGCAGTGGTTGGTACGGGATTAAATGTGAAGTTGATGCTCTACACAAGGAGAAACTTGACCTGCGCACAAATTGTCAACTCCACATTTTTGGGGAACTTGAACGTAACCAGGAAAACCACCTTCATTGTCCATGGATTCAGGCCAACGGGCTCCCCTCCAGTTTGGATAGGGGACTTAGTAGAGGGTTTGCTCTTTGTAGAAGACATGAACGTGGTTGTTGTCGATTGGAATCGAGGAGCTACAACTATAATATACAACCATGCTTCTAGTAAGACCAAAAAAGTAGCAGCAGTCTTGAAGGAATTTATCGACCAAATGTTGGTAAGGGAGAATTCTCTTAGATGATTCAGGGCTAAATTGAAACTGGTCCGTTTTCTGAAGAGTTAGAGCCAAGACACACCTGCAGTGACCAGGGGACTCTTTTGCAGATCCAAGTAAAGCCCCAGGGAAGGTGGAGGGACACGCTGGAGGGACCACCCCTGTGTGTGGTCGTGCAGGTCGTTCCCTGCTCCAGGCACCCGTCCAAGGCAGCGTTATCGTCATTGTAGATGTTGTAGATTTACATGTTTACTAAGGTAATTTTCTAGCAAATGATGGCAAAGTGTCCTGAGGAAGGGGCATATTTTTCTAACTCACATAAAGGTGTCCTATGGGTAGGAGAGGTTCTGTCTATGGGTTTCCTGGCTTCAATGACTGAGCTTCCTTAACTTCTGTAGCTGTTCCTTTTCCTCAAAATGGCAAACGTTTAGTGACCATGTTGTCCAAAACCAGAGCTGATACAAATGGTCTGATAAGCCATTTTTGTATATGTATGATTTATGTCTTTAGAAGACTTACAAAGATTAAGTAAATCTTAAATTTTACTTAGTGATCTCATGAATTGCCACCTCTATTTTTTTTTAAAGTGACTTGGTACCATGACTATTTCGCAGAGAGTCACTGTGGCAGCAGTGGCCCAAGTATTACATGAGCTGCCCACCTAAGCCATGGCCCTGAAAAAGTAAAAATTTTAAAGACTTAATGTATTTATTTTTAGAGAGAGGGGAAGGGAGGGACAAAGAGGGGGAGAAACAACAAAGTCCAAGAGATGATCAGTTGCCACTCACACTCCCCCCAACTGGGGACCTGGTCTGCAACCCAGGCATGTGCCCCGGCTGGGAATAGAACTGGTGACCCTTTCGGTCTGCAGGCTGGCACTCAATCCACCGAAACACACCAGCCAGGGCTGGAAAAGTAAATATTAAAATGACTCATGACAGGCTATCCCAGCAGACTGTGGTCAATGTGACCCATTCCCACCCTAGTGTTTTTCCTCCTTTCCTTCCCGCTCAGTGTTGAATTTATATAACTGGGCCAGCATGAAGATTTTTTAAAAAGTTCATCAAAATGTATTGTTGCCTTTCTTCTCAATTGAGAAGATTTTAAAGATGTCTTGGCTCGAGTTCTAGAAGAGGCATGAAATGGAGATACTGTGGCCTAGAGGTTAAGGAATAAGTTGGAGGTGGGCAGACTAGTGTGAACCCTACTCTGACCTCTCCCCATGGCCTAACCTTGGGCAGATCACTTCAACTCTGGGTCTCAGTTTCCCCATCTGTATAATCAAAAGAATAGTATTAACTTTGCAGGAGTACTGCAACATTTAAATGAGATAATGGATATGAGGTAGTTAGAAATGGTTCCCCCAAATCAACAGATAGGACATTTCTCCAAATGTTGTCAATTCCTTGACCCCCACAATTTATAATGATGCACTTCTTGAAATTCCAGGCAGAAGGAGCTTCTCTTGATGACATTTACATGATTGGAGTAAGTCTAGGAGCCCATATATCCGGGTTTGTTGGAAAGGAGTACAGTGGGCAGCTGGGGAGAATTACAGGTAAGGCTTCCTGTGAACAGGCAGGGGATGGTTGGTCTGGGCGGGGTGTTCCCTGGGGGAGCTCTATGTGGGCAATGCAAGTCCTTGGGTTGGAAGCCAGCTCTTCCAGTTATGTAACGGCTCTGAGAGTGTGTCCTCTTGTGCAAAGGGAACACCATACCAATGTTGACCACAGGTTATCATTTAATAAGATACGTGCAGAGCACTTTGAAAATTGTATATGCCATAGCAAAGATTGGTGGTGACTCTATTTCTCTTATGGTCTACGGGGATTTGATTTCTGTGCCTGAAGCAGATAGCTTTCTTCCTTTTATTTTATTCAGAAGAGCTTGAACTACATACCTAATATGTGTCTGTCCCCAGGCACAGCAGTAGTTTCATCATAGGAAATTGAGATGGGAACTTTGATGGCTGGGGCTTGCTCTCTGAATATCAGCTTGCAAGCTAAAACCTAATGAAAACACTCAGCTATGCAGCAGGTCAAACCCCAAACAAACTTGTGCTGGGTTCTCTTGCCTCGAGCTCCAGTAACTTTCCTTTGCCGCAAATGAAGGACTCAGAGAGGCTTTCTCTTTCAGAGACTTAAGCCTTCTTCCATTCATATCTTTCCCAGAATCCATCCTCATGTGGAAAGAGCTATTTTAATTCTAGGGAATCTGGAAGGTAGAAGAAGGAAGGAGGGAAGAGGTAAACAATGCAAACCAACTATGTTGGAGATAAAGTTTTAAGGCTACAGATCTGAATATGCTGCGTAACTGGACAGCTAGCCCAGGGCAAGCCGTTCTCACTTTCTCCTTCTCTCTCTCTCTCACACACACATCATTCGTTGGTACTTGAGGTCACATTCTTTTTCCTGGCTGTTTTGTTTCTCAATTTCACCCCAAAGGCCAAGGCTGCCCTCATATTCTTATTTACCTGCTTTCCTAGGGAAAGTTCTTTACAATTTTTAAAATTAGTGTTATGTTGCCCTGGCTGGTGTAACTCAGTGGACTGAGCGTGGGCTGTGAACCAAAGGGTCACGGGTTCAATTTCCAGTCAAGGCGCATGCCTGGGTTGCAAGGCCGGGTCCCTGGTGGGGGTGCATGAGAAGCAACCACACATTGATATTTCCCTCTCTTAAAAAAATAATAAGATAAAATAAATTTAGTGTTATGTTTTAGAAAGCAACATGTTCTTACTTATTTAAAAATTTCCTTTTCCCTTATGCGTACAAAGGACAGATAGCTTCAATTTGCTTGTGTCCCTTAAAAAGAAGGAAGGACGTAAAAGCCCTGATTTGTAGTGTTTGCTGATTTCCATGGTGTATACATACCCCTCCTGTGTCTGAATTCAAGCTAGCAACCTGACATCACTGACCACAAAGTTTGGGGAGAGATGAGCAAATGTGCTCTCCAGTACGTGTTCCAGACCCCCCCCCCCGCTGTTCTACTTAACACCCCCCCTGTTTTGTTCTTCAGCCTCCCAGCAAACCGGTTCCACAACTACTTTGAATGTGAATCCAATGTAACCTGGCCTCTGATTATGGAAATTTCCCCAACCTGCCTTCCTCTGGCTCCCTGCCCATGTGGCCCTGATCCGTGAGCTGGATTTAGCCATTGGTCCACAGCTCCACTTTCTTTCTCCACTGACTCCCCCAAGTTCTCCTGATTTCTCATCCTGTCTGAGCCCCAAGTTCAATCTCAGTTTGTAACCTAATGAAGGTCCGGCTGCCTGCTGCTATGAAAGCCAATACTTGAGAGGCAGATGCTGAAAAGATAGTGATTTATTTGCAGATGCCGGCCATGTGGAAGATGGTAGACTCCTGTCTCAAAGCCCAACTTCCCATCTCAGCGGAGGCAGAGGTTTTTGTAAGGAGGGAGAGAGGGACAGAACAAAGAGATTAAGGGAGGGGTTGAAAGCTCTCTTAGTATGGATGAACACAGTCCATTCCAATGAGGCAAGTGCCGGTCTGGTGTGCAGAATCCTGGTTTAATCATCCCGACCTACGTTGTCCTGGCTTCATGTCGTCCTGGCTCCATGGATGAAGGTCAGCAAATCTCCCAGAGCTGGGATGCCTGAAGATCAGAGTCTGTATCTTTTGCAACTAGTTCCTAGGATTCTTATACAAGCATGCTGTTCATCTGCAAGCTTCATATTAGTCAGAGCCAGCGCTTACAGAAACAATGTCAAAAGAATAGTGGGTGGGTCACCATTTCCCACCATTACAATTTTCCACTGTCACAAGCTGTCCCTACAGCAGTTTCAGGGGTCAAGCATTTATTTCTCTTTTCTACTCACCTCCCACTGCCTTGCCAGAGTGGGCTCACTGGATTATGAAGTGGGAATTTGGCCTGTTCCCCAAAGGACACCATTCACTCCGGCCTCCCAAGTATTGGATGGTTCTGCTCATTAATTAATGGCTGCTTCATCTCTTCCATGTCTCCTTCTTCCTTCTGCTCTTCCTTTTGCTTTTCCTGTCCGGGCACAGCTCCTGGATTTACTTCTTATTAACTTCTTCAACAGAAGATGGCAGAACATGAACAGATTTTAATCTATCTCAAGTCCCTACATCACTCGATAATACATTAAATTTAATTCTCAGCTTTAATGTGTGTGAAAATTACCTTGGGGTGCTGATACAATGCCAGCTTGCTGAATCGGAATCTCTGGGGTTAGGGTCCAGGAGTGTATACTTTTTTGTTTTCATTTTTTAAAACACTGATTTATTGTTCCACTTATTTATGCGTTCATCGGTTGCTTCTTGTGTGTGCCCTGACTGGGGATCAGACCCAAAACTTTGGTGTATTGGGTTTGATGTATCTGGGATGACACTCCAGACAACGGAACTACCTGGTCGGGACAGGAGTGTATTCTTTTAATCAAAAGATACAGGTGGTCGGAACATTATGTCTCGAAAAGCGGCCACAGAGCTGGGCTGCCCCATATAGTAGTCACTAGCCACACGTGGCTGTTGATCTCTTGAAATGTTGCTAAAGGAAACCGGGAGGTGCTGTAAGTACAAAATACACACTGGACATTGAAGACTAAGTACAAAATATGTTTAAAAATCTCAAGTTTTTAATATTGATTACATGCCTGAATAGTATTTTAGATGTATTGGATTAAATAGAATGCAATATTAAAATTAATTTTCCTTGTTTGATTTTTCCTTTTTTTTTAAGTGGCTGCTTGAAAATTTAAAATTATTATGTGGCTCCCAGTATATTTTTCTTGGACAGCACTGCCTTAGAGAATTCCTTGTGACCCTGGAGATGAGGGGAAGAGGCTCCGGAAGCTGCATGCAGCATGTTTGACGTCATCAAATTCTCAAACCAGTTAATGCTGCAGCAGCGGACAGGGATCACTAGACACTTTTCTGGTGATCTTAGAGCAACAAGAAAAGCTCCATTTTTTCCCCATTTTGTTTCTAATCTCAAAATGTTCTGGATTCAGATCCAGGAGTCATTTTTTACATTTTCTGAAGTAGCTATTAATTCTACCTCCATTTTGCAGATAAAGAAACTGAGGTTCAGAGAAATATAGTAACCTGCCTAAGGTCACACAGCTGGCCTGTGTTAGGTCTGGGGCTCCATATCACACCTATTTGACACAACTTTTTAGGGCAGCTTAACTGTGATTTTTGGCTGACATTATAAACTGATCATTTGCTATGGCTTATCCCTAAAGAGATCATTATGTCCAAGGGTATTGTAACAGTCCTCATTTGCGCCTTGGTCCTGGCATAATTATTAGTAGCACCCTCATCACTCGTAAAATTGCCCTGGTTTGGACTTTATGTAGGAAGCCAGTTTACCGCCATGGATCTGGGGGCTGCTATGAACTGGGCTCTCGCTGTTTCTCTGTCCATTTTCTTACACCACAAGGTGCTGTCTGATGTGCAGAGGAGGCTTCCCCAACAAAAACTCTTTCTAAAGTTATGAGTTGCTCTTTGTTGTTGTTGTTGAGAATATCTTGTGAACTCAGTTGCCTGGGTGTTCATCCATCTCCTCCCACATCAGTTTCAGTTGGGAGCAGACGGGGGAATAAGAAAGGCTTCCCGTGCCGGAGGTGAAGGAGATAAGGAAAGAAGCAGATACAGACAAGCCTCTGGGAAGCAAGAGTTTTGGGAGAAGAGAAATGAGAGATTGAGGCTGGAACCAGGAAAGCTGAGACAAAGATGCTATCTTGGGTTTTGTACAAAACACCAGGAAGTGGGGAGGTGTTATTTAAAATGAAGTTCATAGATAAAATCTTCAATGTGTCCCTTGAAACCTTCCCTTAGGTTTCTAGTGAGCAGGGCCCGTTCGAACCTCCCATGTTTTGTTTTTATTTTTTAGTTTAAAGTTTTTATTTTGTGGTTGCAGCATCATGGGAGCTGCCGTCTTGTTTTTACAGCTGTTTCACAAGGATGGTGAGGAACGCCCGGCTGGCATTGACCAAGAGCAAGAAATCAGTTCAGGCATTTATGGGCTGAGTCAACTGCATAGGAATTGACACCCACTTTATTTTCCTCTTCAGTACCTGGTCTGGCCAGAGAGTTTCACTCTTTGCTGCTGAGCTTACCACACTGAGTGGTGATTGCTGTGTGAGTCTGTGGCCCTGGTTAAGACACATGATTTCTCTGTACCTCAGTTCATTCATCTGTAAAATGGGAATGGTAATAGCTACCCTGCTTCCCTCAGGCTTGTGATGTGGAGCTTATGAGCTAGTATATATAATAAAAAGGGAAACTATTAAAATGGGATAAAGATAAGTATAGCATCTGTTTTTTACATGCACCCTTAGGTGCTTTTTCCTGAGGAACCAGTTTATCCCCACCCCCCTGCTCCCCACACGTCTGTGTACTCCGCTGTTGAGCTGAGCACAGATACGCCTCCTGATGGAGCTGGGACGCTGTTCTCAGCGGTCACTGCCAGGGAACCATCTCTCCTGTGGGAAAAGGCTACAGGGCTGTGGAAAGAAGCCTGACGGAGCAGGATGGGAATGCGAGCGCTTGCCCACCTGAGGGTGCCTTGCAGCCTGTGAGCCATCCTCAAGGGGGTGGGGATCAAAAGCTCAGCCACAGGTGACTCATGGCGTGGGGCTGCCAGACCCACTCTGTTTTCCTTCCAGGTCTCGACCCTGCTGGCCCTTTATTCAACGGGAGGCCGCCTGAGGACAGATTAGATCCCAGTGATGCACAGTTCGTTGACGTCATCCATTCTGACATCGATGGTAACATTCCTGTCCTTGTGTGTCAGTGACCTCCCAGACTCCCGTGGAATCCTCTCAAGGCCGGGTGGGGGCGGGGGGGGGACGGACTGTCATGCAGGGGCAGATCTGTTTCCTCCAGATTCCCCCTTTTGGGGCAGGGTTCCAAGTCCACAGAAATTTTGATGGGAAGCTGGTTTAATGCAGGCACCCAGGATCTTTTGCTGGAGTGGCAGTGCCTTTCCCGGGGTCTCTTCTTGTTTTTACAGTGACCATCCCGACCAGTCGAGCACAGGCCGGTTGGCACACCTTGTGGACAGGTGTTTCCATATGTACAACTGGATCCTGATGCATGATTTTGTGTTTTTGTTGTTTCTTTCTCATTCTTTCCTAAAGCAGAAATACATGGTCAAGTGTGTCTGTCTCTACACAGAGTGATTGATTCTGAACTGCCACGTCTCTGTGGATCTTTCTGGCCGTTTCTGTCTCTGTTGGTGCCGATTTCCTATCTGGAATTGGGTACACATCATGGGGTTTGGGGTGATGTTAAGGATAGGTCTTCATATCCAGATGTCTGGGAGAAGAGCTGGAGTAGGATTTGGGGAGGGCTGAGGGGGCAGAGCAGAGTGATCATTTAATCACATACCCTCTTTGTGATACAACCACCTAAAAAGAAAAAAACAAACCCTTGACCACCTGTCCTGGGCACTCTGGTGCGGTATTCAGCAATTGTTTGCCTTAAAAAAAGGTCCCTGAGAAACAGCTGAATTCTTAATGTGTTGTTGCAAAGTCTTTTCTTACTTAAGTGCAGTACCTCACTGACATTTTAATGCTTGATGGAATAGAGCAGTTTATTTTTTATTCTTGGAGAGAAAGTAAACTTTGAAGGAAAGTTTATAAACTTTTTTTTAAGATCTTATTTATCTTTTTAGAGGGGAGGGAAGGAGGGAGAAAGAGAGGGAGAGACACATTGATCAGTTGACTCTCTCACGCCCCCAACTGGGCCAAACCAGCAGCCTTTTGATTCACAGGCTGGTGCTCAACCCACGAAGCCACACCAGCCAGGATAGAAAGTACTGATATATAAACTTTGCAGTAGGCAGAGATGGACTCGAGTCCCTGATTTTGTTCCTTCTAGTGGGTTGTGTTTGTTCCTAAAGTCCTCTGAGCCTCAGTATTTTCTCAGTTACTTCATCTCAATTTACCAATGGTTACTTTGCAGACATAGTGAAATGAGAAGGTGTGTAAAACACCTAGCATCATGCTCACAAACACGTATAGGTTCTCAATATATAATAACTATTATTATTCCGATGATGTATAAACTATGTGTACAAGGGGTACCCCCAAAATGGAATTTATTTACAAAAAATTGTGTATTTACTCTTACATGTTTAAACTTCAGTCATCTTCTTTCTCATGTTTTTTTATTTTTTAATATATTTTATTGATTATGCTATTACAGTTGTCCCCTATTTTTCCTCTTTATCCTGCTCCACTCTGTATCTCCTCCCTCTAGCACTTCCCCCTCCTTAGTTCATGTCCATGAGTCATACATATAAGTTCTTGGCTTCTCCATTTCCTAGACCGTTCTTAACCTCCCCTGTCTATCTTGTACCTACTATTTATGCTTCTTATTCCCTGTACCTTTCCCCCGTCTCCTCCTCCCCGCAGGCCTGAGCTCAATCCACTGAGCTACACCAGCCAGGGCTTCTATAAGCATCTTGATTACCAGTGTTTTGAACTCTGCATCTGATAGATTGGCTATCTCCTTGTTGCTTAGTTCTTTTTCTGGAGTTTTGGTCTGTTCTTTCATCTGGGCTATATTTCTTTGTCTTGGTGCACCTGTTACATAATAAGGGGCAGAGTCTTAGGTATTCTCCAGGTGGGACAACCCACGTCTCTGCATTGTGACGCTACATTTGGGGCAGAAAGGGGTCAGAAAGGGAACAGTGCTGCTGGCTTGGCTCTCACCCTGCTTTCATGTACTTCCCCCACTACCCAAAGTGAATTGGGCCCTTCTGGTGCTGATTCCTGGGTATACGTTTTAGGACCCTGTGGGTCTCTCCAACAGACTCTCTTGTGAGGCTGGGAATTTCTCCTGCTGCAGCAACACCCACAGGTTTTTCAGTCAGAGGTTTTGAGGCTTTATTTCCCTGAGCTGGATCCCTGGGTTGTGTGGTCTGTCTTGCTCCCCAGTTGTTCCTCCCAGTTTATCTGCACACAAATGTGGGCCCTCCCGCTCTGCCAGCCACCGCCTCACATGCCCAGTCTGCCGGCTGTAGCTGTGCCACATGTCTTCTCTGCCCCAGCCGCCCATCTCTATCCCTCCTACCAGTCTGGATGAATGTTTCTTCTTTAACTTCTTGGTTGTCAGACTTCCACACAGTTAAATTTTCTGGCAGTTCTGGTTGGCTTTGGTTTTTAAACTGGTTGTTGCCTTTCTTTTGTTTGTGTGAGGAAGCAAAGCCTCCATCTTGGCCAGAAGTTCCTAAACTTCAGTCACCTTCAAAGTACTCTCAACTTGATGCAATATACCTAACAACATTTTTTCCAAAAGTTTTTGAACTTGTCAATTTTGATGCCTTTTAGTGCTTCTGCCTTTTGTTTGTTTGTTTGTTTTACTTCTTCCATGTCAGCAAATGTTTCCCTTTGAGGACTTTTTTTCATGTGAGGAAACAAAAAATAGTCACTTAGGTGAGATCAGGTGAATAGGGAGGGTGGGACGTGGGGGTCATGTCGTTTTTGGTCAAATACTGCTGAACACTCATTGTGGTGTGGGCAGGTAGGTGCGTTTGTAATTCACCCATTATGACATGGGCAAACATGTTGAAAGAGTCTTTAAAAAAAGTTCACTGAAGCCAACTACAGCCTCCCCCAACAATGCCAGCTGGTGCACTTACAGATGGTTCCTAGAGCACTGGCTCAGCCAGGGAAGCCTGTGCTGCAAGGTGCCTGCCCTCCAGAAGCTAATTCCATTTTTTGGGTCCCCCATTGTACATATATAAAGAATCTTTTAAATAAAGCATTTTACTGATTATTTGGGGTTGCAAGGGTAAAGAGAATAGGCAGTTATTAAATCTATGTATAGTTTTTTAGGTCCCTGTTTTCTAGAAGATTTTCCAAGGTCTTTACTATATTAGATCCCAAAATTTAAAAGATTTTTTCTACTAAATAAAAATTTATTCTTCCCTGTTTCTTTCTTTCTTTCTTTTTTTTAAAGATTTTATTTATTTATCTTTAGAGGGGAAGGGAAGGAGAGAGGGAGAGAAATATCAGTGTATGGTTGCCTCTCGTGCATCCCCTGCTGGGAACTGGCCTGCAACCCAGGCATGTGCCCTGACTGGGAATTGAACCACGATCCTTTGGTTTGCAGGCCCATGCTCAATTCACTGAGCTATGCCAGCCAGGGCATTCCCTGTTTCTTATTCATTAAAGATTTACACAGATACAAGTAGAGGCTCAAGAAGCACCCAGAGAATAGAGGGCTCCAGAGAAATGTAATGAAGAAAACTATCCTTTTATCAGCTTTGCAGTGAATGAGTGACCAAGCTCTCTTAGGTCTTCAGAAATATCAGAAATAAACTCCATCACTGTCTTCATAGTCTCCTGGTTAATGCATGTGTATGTGTGTACAGCAATAATACTCTCTAACAGCTGGGTAGCTTTGGGAAAAATATTTAAGCAGAAATAGATAAAATAAAATATAATAATAATAATAGTTATAATAATACAACCCTCGTCCAAATCCTGCAGGCAATGAGCTATGAGATGTGAACAGTTCAGAGCAGTCTAAAGCACAGTGTGCTCTCTTTTAGCACTGGGCTACAGGGAACCATTAGGAAACATAGACTTCTACCCAAATGGAGGAGTGGATCAACCTGGTTGTCCCAAAACCATCCTTGGAGGTAAGTGCAAATACTTTATATTTTCTGTCTTTAAAAAGGTATGTTAAAAAAATTTGATATTCTATGTGGGATAGTTTTTAATAAAAAATATTCCTGAGCTCTGGCTGGTGTGGCTCAGTGGATTGAGTGCCAGCTTGTGAACCAAAGTGTCGCTGGTTCAATTCCCAGTCAGGGCACATGCCTGGGTTGTGGGCCAGGTCCCCAGTGGGGGGTGCTTGAGAGACAACCATATATTGATGTTTCACTCCCTCTCTTTCTCCCTCCATTCCCTTCTCTCTATAAATAAATAAATAAATAAAATCTTTAAAAAATATTCCTGAGAAGGTAGAGGTGGTATAAATATAAATTATGAATTAAAAACTATTATTTATATACTTTTAAAAATAAAGATTTTATTTATTTACTTTTAGAGAGAGGGGAAGGGAGGGAGAAAGAGAGGGAGAGAAACATTGATTGGGACCAAGAACCAAACCCACAACCCAGGCATGTGCCCTGACTGAGAGTAGAACTGGTGACCTTTTGCTTTGCAAGATGATGCCCAACCTGGTCAGGGCTCAAATATACTACTTCTAATAACCATAACTAAATAATTAAAAGCTATTATGAATTATTTGTCTCTCTTGGAAAGGTGTGTCTTTGACCTAGAAATTTCACATCTGGAAATTTCTTCTAGAGAAATAATAGGAAATATAGACAAAAATTAGAGAACACGGTGTCATTCATAACACAAGGTCTGGCAGAAGTAACACCTGCTTGAATGTGGTTGGTAGGATACACACATGTCTCACATGAGATGAACAGCAATTTGCACATTTCATCTAAAATGTCATATGGTGTGCTTGAGTGTGTGTGATATTGTTACATTACAGAATTATATGCTTATAATTTTGTAATAAAAGATTTTGTAATAAAAAGAGGGTGTTATTTGTGCCAGACCCTGTAGTTAGATTTTTAGAAGTAATCTAAATGTCCAACATAGGAAAATTATTAAATGAATGTGGTACACCCACAAAAAGAAATATAATTGTTAAAAATATTATTTTCAGAGATTAATGAAAACACTTACAGTGTGATATTATAGGAAAAAGACACAACTGTACAGTATGGTCCCCACTTATTTTAAGCATGTACTTATATGTGTGTGAGTACAGAAAAGAGACCAAATATAAATGCTCCAAACAATTACAAAGTGATCAATGAATATTAGACTTCTATGTGATTTTTCCATCATTATTTTCTATTATTTTGTATTTTCTTTCTTTTTAAAAATACTTCAACTGCCCTGATGTATTTTCCCTAATCTCACCGACAGTTTGAAATTTCTTTCCTTTCATAGTTGATTTTAGTTTTGGGGAAAGCCAGAAGTTGTGGGGCGCCAAATCTGGGCTGTAGTGCAGCTGAGTCACCTGGGTGATTTGATGTTTCTCAAAAAAACTTTGCATGAGACATGATGCATGAGCAGATGCCTTGTCATGACGAAGCTGCAAATCACCCGTTGCCCATAGCTATGGCCTTCAGAATCATCCGAATAGTTTTCATGGAGAAATGTTCAAGTTTAATGCAAAACCTGATGCAGAATCTTTGCTGTACTGCCCAGTCATTTTGAATGTTATGGCCACACAGTACGCATGCTCACTCAATGGCGTCTACTGCCCCCACTGACTAGTACAGTGAAGTTGTCATTGTTCACGCATGCACATGAACACTCTCCTTGGCTTCCAGGTTTCCTCGATGTCGTGCAAACTGTTCTCATTATATTAACAATGGCTGGACTTCTCCTGGACAAACCTCACATATTACTTTATAATGAGAAAAAAACTCACAAAACAAAAGTGGATTTTTTGGCCCTGGGCATTGTGGCTCAGTTGGTTGGAGCATCATCCTATAAACTGAATGGCTGCCAGTTTGATTCCTAGTCAGGGCACATGCCTGGGTTGCAGGTTTAGTCCCTAGTCAGGGCATATACGGGAGGAACTGATTGATGTTTCTCTCTCACATTGATGTTTCTCTTTCTCTCTCTCCTTCTCCAAAAGCAATGGAAAAATGTGCTCAGGTGAGGATAAAGAAAATGGATAATTGGAAGACAACATAAAAGGGGTATGAGGGACTGAATTAAAAACCCATTGCTCTACAAGTGCTCTAAATTTGTATTTCACCATGCTAGAGAAAGTTAAACGGTCCTGGAAATAATTCTAGAAAAAGATGATCTTGTTACAAAATGGCAGCTTATATGGCCTCACAGGAAGGATGTGCTGTTTGAAAATGACTCCAGTGAAATGGCATAATGGGGCCAACCATATGGTACCCTGAATGGAAAGCAATCCTGTTCCACATCCAAGAGCAGACAAAGATAATATGCTTTGCTTGTAAGGACGTCCTCTTTATTGTTATTCATTGTTTTTGCAAGTGGAAGACCCAGACACAGTAAATAAATATTGGCTTCTTAAGTGGGCCTAAGTGGAAACTTTGAAGAAAGAGGAACATCGATCTGACTCCAGCATCCAGAGCTGTCCCGACCACTCGCTGACAGACATGGCTCCCCATTCATTGTGTTCACTGTTTCCTGTTCAGATTCTTACCTGCGCTGAATACTCATCTTTGAAACCTTGTCTGAGTAACTTCATGCGGACCCAGGGTGGCGTCTCCCGCCATACTTTTTCAAAGCTATTTCCTCCGCTTGCCCTCCTTGGGATCTTCTTCAACCACCCTCCCCCTCCCCCACCATGGCTTCTTTTTTTGATATCTTCATTTAAATGTTCTGGTCTTCTTCTGGAAACCTCGGGGGAATCTCTGACTACCATTGAATTTATCTCCTCCGTTTCACCTGACAAAGGAAGGGTTCTACCACGTAATAGCTGTGTAACCTTGAACAAGTCATTTAACCTCTCTGAGTCTCAATGTCCTGCTAGGTCAAATGGGGACAGTCATGTCTATCTTCTTTTTCCCTCCTGTCGCTCGCCAGCCTGATTCCTGATCTATGGGTTTTTATAAGGATTAAGTGGAATAGAATATGTTGAAGTTGTTAGCACAGTGCCTGGTATATAGGAGACATGATAAATTGTGTGTGTATGTGCATATCATATGTGATATAATAATATTAAATGCTACAGCTGCTCTATTCTTTTATTTTTGTTTTTATTTATTGATTTGACAGAGAGAGCTAGAAAAGGAGAGAGAGAGAGGGAGAGAGACATCTATTGGTTGTTCTACTTTATTTATGCATTCATTGGTTGATTCTCGAATGTGTCCTGACCAGAGATCAAACCCGCAACCTTGGCATATCAGGATGACACTGTAACCAGCTGAGCTGCCCAGCCAGGGCGACTGCTCCATTCTTTAACCATTCCTTTCACAACCCAGGAATTCAATACTTCAAGTGTGACCACCAGAGGTCCGTGTACCTGTACCTCTCCTCCCTGAGAGAGGACTGTGCCGTCACTGCGTATCCCTGCGCCTCCTACCGGGACTATAGGAACGGCAGGTGTGTCAGCTGTGGCGCCCCGCAGCAGGAGCCCTGTCCAGTTCCCGGTGAGTCCAACGAGCAGTCTCCCCTCTGGTTAACCAGCAGCGAGTCTTTGGAAGGAACCCCAGTGCCATTTTAGTATCTAGATCTGAGCCTCAAAATTGCATGCTTTTTGAAAACTTTCCTAGCCAGTTTGTTGCATGAAGTCCTCTGGGGTCTTCTAACCCGTGTCAGAAAAGCCATCTGTTTAGGATTTCATCCAGAAGGCAGTGCGACCTCTCTGGACACTATTCTAGTATGAAAAAGAAGGTTCCAGAAGAGTTTCTAAGCCCGTCCAGGCACAGTCACCTTTATAGCCTGCTCCCATGGGGACAGGAACACCCTCTCCTTGCACACAACCTCTCTGCTGGGGGAAGTCACCGTGACCCTTTCTGGCAAGTGAGCCTTGCGGAATTATCCATTCCAACAAGTTGTGTCTGTAAGTACCGTCGCGCCACACTCCGGCTCTTGTGCGCATTGCACAGGGGTGGGGTGGGGCAGCGTAATAGATACTGTGGAGGCTGATTGGATGTTTGCTCAGGGGTAATTGAAACAATTCAGGTGGTGAGGATTTTGGAACCAGACGGTCATGAGAATTTTCTAATTGCTCCCAAAGGAAAAATCTAAGTTAACATTAGGGCATGCTATAGACAAGGGTTCCTCAGTCTCGGTTATGCACTGCAGTCACTGAGAGAGCTTTTTAAAGTTACTCATGCTTCGGTCCCACCCCGGATCGTGTAAGTCAGAAGGCAGAGGCCATCCACTAGGAGTGGGGCAGAGGAGAGAGAGGGGGCCCACTCTTTTCTGCAGGCCCAGACAGGAAGGAGGACATTTATCTGCTTAGTGACATAGTCACATGGCAAACCCAGGTTCTGTGCAATTTAGAGGCCCCTTTATAGTGCTACAAAGCAGAGGCCCAAAAGTAGTTCAAGAAAGTACATTGCTTTGCACAAGTGATGCTATTCTAGGTATAAACCTGAATCTGTTTTAACCATAAAATGAATGTATTACTGAAAATATCAGTGCTATTTTTAGTCTGCTCCAGTTCCCCACCTCCATTACTGAGAACCAGGGTTGGGTGATGTAATGTCAGTAGAAAGAGGGGAAAGGCACTGTAGGATCCTTTCTCCACGCCCCAGCTGTTGGGAACAGGACACAGAGCAGGTGTGGTGGGCGCTGGGCAGGCACTGCCGGAGGCTCTCTGGGTCCTCAGTGTGAGGGGGATGTGAGGGAGACCATCTCAGTGGTGGTGGTGGGGTGACGACTCACTGTTCTCTGTACCTCCCCAGCCGCTCTTACACTTACATGATACATGTGAGCGTTACACTTTTCCTGCTTGTTTTATAGGGTATTATGCTGATTCTTGGAAAGACTATCTAAGGGAGAAGGATCCTCCTATGACTAAAGCGTTCTTTGACACAGCCGAGGAGAAACCGTTCTGCAGTGAGTGGTGAATGTGGTTGTTTGCTTTTTCCCAATCCTTTTATTTTTGAAATAGCTGAGTCTCAGCTCCTGGCTACTTTTTCAGCAAATGAAGACCTTGATGAAGCCTGGGCTTTTGTGCTGGAAAGGCCTAGGTCTAATCGTGACTCTACCACATACTAGCTGTGAGGCCTTGATTAAGACACTTGACCTCTCTGAGTCTCAATGTCCTGATAGGTGAAATGGGGATAAAAACGCCTATCTTCTGGGTTAGAAGGGTTAAAATCTCAACAAATCATAGTGGTTAGCTTCCTCTAACCACTGGGGATCAGAAAATTCCTCGATCCCCAGGAGACATGAGATTGGGGCTAGGGACAATCAGGTGAGCTGCTGAAGACATTGAGAGGCTGGGTATTCCAGAAGGGGGCTCGATGGGGTAGCAGATAGGATGCCCAGGGAAGCCAGCAGGGGGGTTCCTGCACAGGTGTATGTCTTATAATCTTGTCTCCCTTTTCACTTTTCTTGGAGGCAACCCTTGTAAAAGAGGCTGCAGATCCCTGGGTTTCCCTCCTTCTTTAGCCATGTGTGGCAGCCCCGGGTTTTGTGTCTGCCAGGTCCAAGTGGGGCAAGCCCTTGACCAATAACTGGGCATGAAATGGCAACACCAGGGCTTACCTCCCTCCCTCTCTTGTGGGACAGCCATCTCCCTGAGCCTCTTTCCCTTTCTCTGCAACTCTGACCAAGAGATAGCAAATCTGAATATCATGGTGGGATCACCATTTTCCCAAAGCATCCTTGACCTTAGGGAGCAAAGAGCAGAGAGGAAGAAGAGTCCTCTGAACACATCATGTACTCTCATTTACCTGAACGGGAACTTAGTGGGTGCCTATAAGGTGTTACTGCTGAAATTACAAAGAGGAGTAATCATCCCTTTATGCTTTCCCAGTTATTGCTATAGTACATTTACCCTTTTTGTAACCCCATAAGACATTATTCAGGCAATATTTGTATGGATGTATCCACTCATTTACCATTTTTTTATTATCATTTTTTCTGACTTTTTGCAAATAAAGTATGCTAATGATAAGGGAATCCCAGAGCATGATAGGAACTCCACGAGGTAGATCTGACTTAGTCTGAGGGTCGATGAAGACCTCCTGGAGGAAATGACATTGAACCAAAACCTGATAGATGAGTTGGCAAAAGCAGCAAAGTAAGAATGTTCAGGTCCCAAAGGGGTCTCTGGTTCGATTTCCAGGCAGGACACAACCTTGGGTTGTGGGCCAGGTCCCCTGTGGGAGTCGTGTGAGAGGCAACCACACATTAATGTTTCTCTCCCTCTCTTTCTCACTCCCTCCTCTGTCTAAACATAGATAAATAAAGTCTTTTTTTAAAAAATTTAAAAAAAGAAATGTTCAGGTGAGGGAAGGCCCAGGAGCAAGAGGGAGCTTGGCAGTGCAGGTGGTATGGCATGACCGAGGAAGTGATGAGGGAGGCTGGATAGGCTGGTGGACATTGCCCAGGCTGTGGAAGACCGTGTCGGCTGTGGAGGGTCTCTACAGGGCCACCTTGCTGGTTTATTCTGAAATGGGCAGGGATTGAAGTGAACAGGTCACGGTCAGCAGCAGGCCACGAGACCTTGGTCAGTAAGGTGGGAATACTGATTCAACGGTGCTGCCTAAACATGGTGACTGGATACTGTTGAATTCTGCTGTCACTCAAGCCATCATTTCCAAAGAGAACAGAAGGGAGTATCTCTGCCCTGGATATTTGCAGAGAAACTAGAAAGGAGTTAAAAGAGAGACTCAATTATTAGGGAGGTTGGGTTTTTAGGAACTGACTCTTTAGGGGAGCAGTCGGGAATACCTCTCTCTTACCATGTTTTCTCCTGGTTTTGCAGTATATCATTACTTTGTGGATATTATAACTTGGAACAAGAACATAAGAAGAGGCTCCATTACAATCAAATTGAGAGACAAAGCTGGAAACACCACAGAATCCAAAATCAACCAGTAAGTTGTGTTGGGTTAGTTTGCAGTTTGCTATTTTCCTTTTTGCTCAGAGAAATTAAAATCCCAGATATACTTATTCTTATTTTTACGTCTGTACTTTTCTTTGTTCTACAAAAGATGTAAGAGGACCTATTGTGTAATTGCTTCCCGTGGCTGTTCATCTCCCAGGCTCTACACAAACGGAATTGGTGCAAGGATTAGCTCTGCCACTTTCCTTCTTCCTTCCCTCCCCTCTGCCCCTCCCCTCCTTCTCTCACCCTCTCTTTCCCTTTCTTCCTGTTCTCCCTCACCTCCTTCTTTCCTTTATTTAAACATTTAATTGCAAAAGTTATTTTTGCTTGCTGTAAAAGACTTAAACAGTAAAGGCGTATACACAACAAAAGTGCAACTTTTTGGTCCATCCCAACGATCCCACCCCAACAGACACCCGCCCCCATATGTGTATGTTTCTATTCTTTTATGAGCTCACCACACACACATGCCTGCATGCATGCATATATGTACATATATACATATGCACATACACATGTGTATGTTTGTGAAACTCAGAGAATATAACTTGTAATAGAAAATTGGAAACACCTTAAAAATCCCATGATGAGGAAATGGTTAATTTAAATATTCCCATATAATTGAATACTATTCATACATTGAGGTTTTTAGGAAACATTAAATAAAATGCTTATAATATGTGAAGTGAAAGCTTCAGAATATAAAGTTATATTAAGAATAAAACTTAACAATGTATTCTCTATATATTAAGTTTTTTAAAATTTTTTTATTCATTTATCGTTAGAGGGGAAGGGAAAGAGAGAGGGAGAGAAACATCAATGTGAGGTTGCCTCTTGCATGCCCCTTCCCAGGGAACTGGCCTGCAACCCAGGCATATGCCTTGACTGGAAATAAAACTGGCTACCCTTTGGTTCACAGCCTGCACTCAATCCACTGAGCTACACCCCCCAGGGTTATATATGAAGTTTTAACTTAGCAATATTAGAAAAGTGAAATAGGAACATGACAAAGTATTAGATTGCCCTTTGCATGGTAGAAATGTGAGTGCTTTTTTTTTCAGCTTCTCTTTACTTTTTCAATTTTGTATCTATTGTGTGTATTATATATTTATATATGTTTTAAAATAATATTTTTTTCATCTATTACTTCTATATTTGAGAAAAAGAAAAAAATACCTTAAACTCTGTACTTTAAGCAAAGGAACTTGAGGCTCATTTTATTCATTTACTCAGGAAATGTTTCCTGGGTCCTGCTGACTGTGAGGCATTTGGGTCGTTTTCTATCGTCGCCCATAGGGGACCAAGTAGAATGTCATCTGAAACCGGCAAGCGCCTCATGGGTTCAGTGTGCAGGTCTAGAAAGTGTGGGTGGGTGGTTTAGAGGTGACTTTTTAAAATGCATCCTTGGATAATAATAATAGCCTTTGTTTATTGAAGGAAGCACATCATACACATTGGCTAATGAAATTCTCACTAGAACCCTGTGAGGCAGTATTACTGTCTCTGTTTTATGAATGAGGAAACTGAGGCTCAGAGAGGTCAAGTAACGTGGCCAGTATCATACAGCTGGCTGATCAGGGCAAGTTAGGTAAAATCAGAGGCAGGTCTATCCAACCCCAAAGTCCATAGCTTTAATTACTACATTACATTCTTCCCACTGGGCTGTATTGCTCCCTCCACCCACCACACTTAAGGGTGTGAGTAGTGTGGGGTTTTTTAGGGTTATTCATGGCTCTGTTTCATAGACCTCACTACAGTGTCAGTATTCTCGGACCCACAGTGGGGCAGCATTTTTGGGGAGAGCACCACTAGGTATAGCACACCTTGAGGAATCAGCCTCAGGTGGTTTACGCGCTGCGACCTTCAGTGAGGAAGCCAGGCAGAGACCTCATCTGGACGTTCTAAGGAATAGCAGGGGAGATTGCACAGTTATATAATGGGAAGTGTTCACCTAGCGAAATTTGAGTGTTCGTGCCAGTAATTGCTTTACATAACTTAGAAGTTTTAATTTTACATAATAAATTCCTTCCAAGGATCAACTCCTAAATTTATCTGGAGGTTTTTGTCTTGAATACATACGATAGAGACTTTAACATCTTTATTTTAGTCACGGTTAATCATTCTCATTCTAGTCATGTTTGTGAAAAAGTCATCACCAATCAGAGAGTATATGGGGGGAAAGGAAAGACATGTTCTATTACATAAGAGATAATGGCTACTTCTTTTTGCAAGGCAACTTGGACATTTTAATATTATTTTCACAGTTTAAGGTAAAGGAAATGATAGTATGTACTTTGAATTTACCAGTCTTACCAGACAGTGGGTGCAAATGGAGTCACATTCAAGGTCTGTCTGATGAGGTTCCCTATGTCCATGCTTTAGATGTATTTCTTTTTTTAACCTTTGAAAATACTGAGGTATAATTTACAGACTATAAAATTCATCTTTTCTGAATTTTATTTTTTTATTTTAAATATATTTTATTAATTATGCCATTACAGTTGTTCTATTTCCCCCCTTCATTCCCCTCCACCCTGCACACCTCCTCCCCCACCATTCCCCCCTCTAGTTTATGACCATGTGTCTCAAGTTCTTTAGATTCTATATTTTCCACACTATTCTTGCCCTCCCCCCTGTCTATTTCCTACCTACCATCTATGCTACTTATTTTCTGTACCTTCTCCCCCCTTCTCCTCCTCCCACTCCCCTGTTGCTAACCCTCCATGTGATCTTCATTTCTATGGTTCTGCTCCTGATCTAGCTGTCCTCTTAGTTTGCTTTTGTTTTAGGTGTGGTTCTTAATAACTGTGAGTTTGCTGTCCTTTTGCTGTTCATCTTTTTTATCTTCTTTTTCTTAGGTAAGTCCCTTTAACATTTTATATAATAAGGGCTTGGTGATGATAAACTCCTTGAATTTGATCTAATCTGAGAAGCACTTTATCTGCCCTTCCATTCTAAAAGAAAATTTTGCTGGATAGAGCAATCTTGGTTGTAGGTCTTTGGATTTCATGACTTGGAATACTTCTTTCCAGCCCCTTCTTGCCTGTAAGGTCTCTTTTGAGAAATCCACTGACAGTCTGATGGGAACTCCTTTGTAGGTGACTGTCCCCTTATCTCTTGCTGCTTCTAGGATTCTCTCCTTCATTTTAATCTTGGGTAATGTAATTATGATGTGCCTTGGTGTGTTCCTTCGTGGGTCCAACTTCTTTGGGACTCTCTGAGTTTCCTGGATTTTCTGGAAGTCTATTTCCTTTGCCAGATTGGGGAAATTCTCCTTTATTATTTTTTCAAATAAGTTTTCCACTGGTGGCTGTTCCTCTTCCCCCTCTGGTACCTATAATTTGAATGTTGGAACATTTAAAGATGTCTTGCCCTGGCTGGTGTAACTCAGTGGATTGAGCACGGGCCTGCGAACCAAAAGATCACGGTTCGATTCCCATCAGGGCACATGCCTGGGTTGCAGGCCAGTTCCCAGCAGGGGATGCACCAGAAGCAACCATACATTGATATTTCTCTCCTTCTCTCCTTCCCTTCCCTTTTAAAGATAAATAAATAAATTAATTTTAAAAAAAAGATGTCCTGAAGGTTCCTAAGCCTCTCCTCATTTTTTTGAATTCTTGTTTCTTCATCCTTTTCTGTTTGGTCATATTTTTTCCTCCTTCTGGTCTACTCCTTTGATCTGAGTCCCAGTTTTCTTTCCATTACTATTGGTTTCCTGTGCAATTCCCTTCATTTCAATTAGTTTAGCCTTCATATGTTCCTCTAATTTGTGACTAAAATCAACCAGTTCTGTGAGCATCCTGATCACCAGTGTTTTGAACTGTGCATCTGAAAGTTTGGCTATTTCTTCATCTCTTAGAGTTATGGGCTCTGGGGCTCTGAGTTGTTCTTGAGGCATGTTTTGATCTGTTCATGTCTGTTAAGTATGAGGAGCGGAGCCTTAGTTGTTCACCAGGGCGGGGCCACCCAGGTCGCAGGTTTGTGTCGCTGTATTTGGGGGCGGGGTCAGAGAGGGACAATGGCGGTTCCCTCTGCTGCTTCCTGCCGCTGGGGCCTGCCTGGTCCGTCTCACTGCTAGCTCCTTCACTAGTTTATCTGCACGCAAATGTGTGACCACAATCAGCCCTCAGTGGGTCCACTGCCTTGCGCCCTCAGTGGGTCCGCCTGCTTCTCCACACCTGGGATCTGCCCATAGCTGCTGGCGCACCTGGGGTCCCGCACCCGGGTTGGTCACGGTGGATCTTTCCTGCCCGACCCCGCTCTGCTGCTGGCTCTGCCCCTCTTACCGGTTTGGCTGAAAGGTTTGTTGTTGTCAGACTTCTGTGTAGTTCTATTTTCTGTGGTTTGGCTGCATTTTTGTTGCTAAAACTTTGTTGTTTTTAAACTTAGTTGTGCGAGAAGGCACAGTGCTTGCACCTACGCCTTCATCTTGGGCGGAAGTCCCTTATATCAAAATTCATCCTTTTTAGTTTGTTTCTTTTTTAAATTTATTTTAATTGTTGTCCAAATACAGTTCTCTTACTCTTTTTTCTTTTTTAAAAAATTTATTTATTTATCTTTAGAGGGGAAGGAGAGAGGGAGAGAAATATCAATGTATGGTTGCCTCTCGTGCATCCCCTGCTGGGAACTGGCCTGCAATCCAGGCATGTGCCCTGACTGGGAATCAAACTGCAATACTCTGGTTCTCAGGCCCAAGCTCAATCCACTGAGCTACACCACCAGCCAGGGCTATTTATTTATTTATTAAGATTTTACCTATTGCCCTGGCTGGTACGGCTCAGTAGATTGAGTGCCAGCCTGCAAAACCAAGGGTAGCTATTTCGATTCCCAGTCAGGGCACATGCCTGGGTTGTGGGTGGGTCTCCAGCTGGGTGTGCATGAGAGGCAACTACACATTGATATTTCTCTCCCTTTCTTTCTCCCTTCTTTTCTCTAAAAATAAATAAATAAAATCTTAATTTTTTTTTTACCTATTTATTTTCAGCAAGAGGGGAAGGGATGTAGAAAGAGAGGGAGAGAAACACCTGTGCATGAAAGATGGATCAGGCTTGTGTGAAAAAGACTTCCACCAAGACAGAGGCATAGGTGGAGACGCTGCGCTTTCTCACACAACCAAGTTTAGAGACAACAAAATATTAGCAATAGAAAACACAGCCAGAACACAGAAAATTGAACTTTTCGGAAGTCTGATAACAACGAATTCTTCAGCCTGACCGATAAGAGGGGCGAAGCCAGCACCTGGTGGAGCGGGGTTGCACAGGAAAACTCAGTCAGACAGACTCAGGTGCGCAGATTCCAGGTGTGGGGTTGCAAAGGGCAGACCCAGTGAGCGACCCAGGGAGCGACCCAGTGAGCCACCGGTGGACCCAGCTAGGGCGCAGGGCGGCGGGTTGACTGTGGTGGCTCATTCCTGCGCAGATAGACCGGCAAGGGAGTGGGTGGTGAGACAGGACCGAGCAGGCCCCAGCAGCAGCGGCAACAGAGGGGGCTGCCATTTCCCCGCTCTGACCCCACCCCAACATACAGCGTCACAAACCAGCAACCTGAGTAGCCCTGCCCTGGTGAACACCTAAGACTCTGCTCCTCATACTTAATGGGCACGAACAGACCAAAAATGGCTCAGGAAGATCTCAAAGCCCCAGAGCCCATAACTCTAAGTGATGAAGAAATAGCCAAGATTTCAGATGCACAGTTCAAAACACTGGTGATCAGGATGCTCACAGAACTGGTTGATTTTAGTCACAAATTAGAGGAACATATGAAGGCTAAACTAATTGAAATGAAGGGAATTGCACAGGAAACCAATAGTGACGAAAAGGAAACTGGTACTCAAATCAAGGGAGTGGACCAGAAGGAAGGAAAAAATGACCAAACAGGAAAATATGAAGAAACAAGAATTCAAAAAAATGAGGAGAGACTTAGGGCCCTCCAGGACATCTTTAAACACTCCAACATCTGAATTATAGGGGTACCAGAAGGGGGAAAGGAACAGCCACCAGTGGAAAACTTATTTGAACAAATAATAAAGGAGAATTTCCCCAATCTGGCAAAGGAAATAGACTTCCAGGAAATCCAGGAAGCTCAGAGAGTCCCAAAGAAGTTGGACTCAAGAAGGAACACACCACCTGGCTGGTGTAGCTCAGTGGATTGAGCGCGGGCCTGCGAACCAGACAATCGCGGTTCAAATCCCAGTCAGGGCACATACCAGGGTTGCAGGCAGGTTCCCTGCAGGCCAGTTCCCAGCAGGGGATGCACAAAAGGCAACCGTACATTGATGTTTCTCTCCCTCTCTCCTTCCCTTCCCCTCTAAAGATAAATAAATAAAATTTAAAAAAAAAGAAAAGAAGGAACACACCAAGGCACATCATAATTACATTACCCAAGATTAAAATGAAGGAGAGAATCCTAGAAGCAGCAAGAGATAAGGGGACAGTCAGCTACAAAGGAGTTCCCATCAGATTGTCAGCAGATTTCTCAAAAGAGACTTTACAGGCAAGAAGGGGCTGGAAAGAGGTATTCCAAGTCATGAAATCCAAAGACCTGCAACCAAGATTGCTCTATCCAGCAAAGCTTTCTTTTTTTTTATTTTTTTATTGATTATGCTGTTACAGTTGTTTTATTCCCCCCTTCATTCCCCTCCACCCTAACCCCTGTCCCCACCATTACCCCCCTTTAGTTTATGACCATATGTCTCAAGTCCTTTAGATTCTATATTTCCCATGCTATTCTTGCCCCCATCTATTTTCTATCTACTGTCTATGCTACTTATTTTCTGTACCTTCTCCCCCCATCTCCTCCTCCAACTCCCCTGTTGCTAACCCTCCTTGAGATCTTCATTTTTATGTTTCCACTCCTGATCTAACTGTCCTTTTAGTTTGCTTTTTGTTTTAGGTGTGGTTGTTAATAACTGTGAGTTTGTTGTCCTTTCACTGTTCATGTTTTTTTTACCTTCTTTTTCTTAGATAAGTCCCTTTAACATTTCATATAATAAGGGCTTGGTGATGATGAACTCCTTGAATTTGATCTTATTTGAGAAGCCCTTTATCTGTCCTTCCATTCTAAATGAAAATTTTGCTGGATAGAGCAATCTTGGTTGTAGGTCTTTGGATTTCATGACTTGGAACACCTTTTTCCAGCCCCTTCTTGCCTGTAAGGTCTCTTTTGAGAAATCCACTGACAGTCTGATGGGAACTCCTTTGTAGGTGACTGTCCCCTTATCTCTTGCTGCTTCTAGGATTCTCTCCTTCATTTTAATTTTGGCTAATGTAATTATGATGTGCCTTGGTGTGTTCCTTCTTGGGTCCAACTTCTTTGCTACTCTCTGAGTTTCCTGGATTTCCTGGAAGTCTATTTCCTTTGCCAGATTGGGGAAATTCTCCTTTATTATTTGTTCAAATAAGTTTTCCACTGGTGGCTGTGCCTTTCCCCCTTCTGGTACCCCTATAATTCGGATGTTGGAGTGTTTAAAGATGTCCTGGAGATTCCTAAGACTCTCCTCATTTCTTTGAATTCTTGCTTCTTGACTCTTTTCTGTTTGGCCATTATTTGCTTTCTTCTGGTCCACTCCATTGATTTGAGTCCCAGTTTCCTTTTCAACACTATTGGTTTCCTGTGCAACTCCATTCATTTCAATTAGTTTCGCCTTCATATATTTGTCTAATTTGTGGCTATAATCAACCAGTTCTGTAAAGATCCTGATCACCAGTGTTTTAAACTGTGCGTCTGAGAGTTTTGCTATTTCTTCATCACTTAGATTTATAGGCTCTCGGGCTTTGAGACCTTCTTGAGCCATTTTTGGTCTGTTTGTGCCCTTTAAGTGTGAGGAGCGGAGCCTTGGACTCCCAGGTCGCTGGGTTGTGACGCTTATGTGGGGCGTGGTCCGAGCGGGGAAATGGCGACCCCCCTCTGCTGTTTCGCGCCTGCGGGGTGAGGAGCAGAGCCTTAGAATGTTCACCAGGGCCAGGCCACTCAGGGTCGCTGGGTTATGACGCTGTATGTGGAGGTGGGGTCAGAGCAGGGAAATGGCAGCGCCCTCCCTGCCGCTTGCTGTGGGGACCCGCTGGGTTCCGGTCCAATCGCCCACTCCCTCGCTTTTCTATCCGCGCACAAATGCGCGACCACAGTCAACCCGCAGCCCTGCTCCCTCGCTGTTTCCCCTGCGGTCGCTCACTAGGTCCAACCCTGCGCCTGGATTCGGCGCGCCTGGATTCTGCGCGCCTGAGTTTGTCCGACAGAGTTTTCCTGTGCAACCCTGCTCCACCAGCTGCTGGTTTCGCCCCCTACTGGTCAGGCTGAAGAATTTGTTGTTAACAGACTTCCGAAAAGTTCAATTGTTTGTGTTCTGGCTGTGTTTTCTATTGCTAATATTTAGTTGTCTCTAAACTTGGTTGTGTGAGAAGGCACGGCATATCCACCTATGCTTCCATCTTGGCGGAAGTCTATCTCCAGCAAAGCTTTCATTTAGAATGGAAGGACAGATGAAGTGCTTCTCAGATAAGATCAAATTCAAGGAGTTTATCATCACCAAGCCCTTATTATATGAAATGTTAAAGGGACTTATCTAAGAAAAAGAAGATAAAAAAGATGAACAGTGAAAGGACAGCAAACTCACAGTTATTAACAACCACACCTAAAACAAAAGCAAACTAAGAGGACAGCTAGATCAGGAGCAGAACCATAGAAATGAAGATCACATGGAGGGTTAGCAACAGGGGAGTGGGAGGAGAAGGGGGGAGAAGGTACAGAAAATAAGTAGCATAGACAGTAGGTAGAAAATAGATAGGGGGAGGGCAAGAATAGCATGGGAAATATAGAATCTGAAGAACTTGAGACACATGGTCATAAACAAAAGGGGGGAATAGTGGGGGTGGCGTGCAGGGTGGAGGGGAATGAAGGGGGGAATAGAACAACTGTAATGGCATAATCAATAAAATAAAAAAAGAAAAAAAAAGAAAGATGGATCAGCTACCTCTCACTATGCCCACAACCAGAGTCCTGGCTCACAACCCCGGCATGGGCCCTGACCAGAAATTGAATCAACAGCCTTCTGGTTCACAGGCCAGCATTCAAGACACTGAGCCACATCAGCCAGGACTGAAATGTATCCGTTAAGAGCATCTGCTTCCTTGTCTGTAAAACGAAGATAATAATAGTCTCCTAGCTGAATTTTTAAGGGGATTGGAGATATATGTCAAGAGTTACCTGGCATATATTAGGCACCACACCTTTCTGAAATCATAGCATTTCCTCAGTCCCGGGGGCAGCAGCTTCACTTACACAGTCCTTTGGAATCCAGTGGGCTTTGCCCACAATCGTTGGCCACTGCAGGCTATGGACTCAAGTGGCTACCGCTCACTTGTGATTTGTAAGCTTTACAAGTGTTTTCTTTTACTGGCAATTTATATCCATTAAAAAAAAATTATCTCTTCCCTCTAGTGAACCAGCAACATTTCAGAAATACCACCAAGTAAGTTTGCTTGCAAGATTTAATCAAGATCTGGAGAAAGTGGCAGCCATTTCCTTGGTCTTCTCTACAGGATCTATAATAGGCCCGACGTACAAGCTCAGGATTCTCCGAATGAAGTTAAGGTCACTTGCCCATCCAGACAGGTGAGCCATAGATAGATGGGCTAGAGTTGACAAGCTCCTGCTTTCCAAAAATGCTGTTGATTCTGGTTCAGTCTGCTCGGTCTAATGCTATAATTTGACTTCATCAATCAAAATGAAGGAAATGAGGGGTTTTCTAAGAATAGACCTTTTTAAAAAAGTATATTTTATTAATTATGCTATTACAGTTGTCCCCTTTTCTCTTTCCTTTGTCCTCCTCCACCCAAGGCCCCCATTCCATCCAGCATCCCCCATCCTAGTTCATGTCTGTGGGTCATACATATAAGTTCTTTGGCTTCTCCATCTCTTATACTGTTCTTAACCTCCCCCTGTCTATTTTGTACCTACCAATTATGTTACCTATTCCCCCATGTTCCCGCTCCCATGGTCTACTAATCATCCTCCATGTAATCTCCATTTCTGTGATTCTGTTTCTGTTCCAGTTGTTTGCTTATTGTTGTTTTTGTTTTTTAGGTTCAGTTGTTGATAGTTGTGAGATTGTTGTCATTTTACTGTTCATAGTTTTGATCTTTTTTTCTCAGATAAATCCTTTTAACATTTCATATAATAAGGGGTTGGTGATGATGAACTCCTTTAACTTTACTGTATCTGGGGAGCACTTTATCTGCCCTTCCATTCTAAATGAGAGCTTTTCTGGATAGAATAATCTTGGATGTAGGTCCTTGCTTTTCATGACTTTGAATACCTCTTGCCAGCCCCTTCTTGCATGTAAGGTTTCTTTTGAGAAAAATCAGCTGATAGTTTGATGGGAACTCCTTTGTAGGTAATGCTTTGCTTTTCTCTTGCTGCTTTTATGATTCTCTCCTTCTCTTTAATCTTGGGTAATGTTATTATGGTGTGCTTTGGTGTGTTCCTCCTTGGGTCCAACTTCTTTGGGACTCTCTGTGCTTCCTAGACTTGCATATCTATTTCCTTCACCAGAATGGGGAATTTTTCTTTCATTATTTGTTCAAATAAGTTTTCAGTTTCTTGCTTTTCCTCTTCTCCTTCTGGCACCCCTATGATTCAGATATTGGAACATTTAAAGTTGTCTCAGAGGTTCCTAAGGCTCTACTCATTTTAAAAAAATTCTTGTTTTTTCATTCTGTTCTGGTTGAGTGTTTATTTCTAACTTTTGTTCCAAATCGTTGATTTGAGTCCCAGTTTCTTTCCTTTCGCTGTTGGTTCCCTGTATATTTTTCTTTATGTCACTTTGCATAACCTTCACTCCTTTCTTTATTTTGTGTCTGTACTCAACCATTTCTGTGAGCATCCTGATTATTGGTGTTTTCAATTCTGTATTCAATAGGTTGGCTATCTCTTAATCACTTAGTTCTTTTTCTGAGGTTTTGATCTGTTCTTTCATCTGGGCCATATGTCTTTGTCTTGGTACACCTGTTACATTATAAGGGGTGGAGCCTTAAGTATTTGCCAGTGTAGGGCAACTGACTTCTCTGAGTTGTGGCACTGTATGTGGGGAAGGGGTCTGAGAGGGAACAATGCCACTTACTCAGCTCTCGCCCCGCTTTCAGTCACTTCCTCCACTTCCCACGAGTGAATTGTGCCCTTTCAGGTGCTGCCCTGGTGCTGATTACCAGGTGGGTGGGCTTGTGCACATTGCAGGACCCCGTGGACCCCTCCCACAGAATCTGAAACCCCCACAGGTTTTTACAGCCAGAGATTCTGAGGTTTTATTTTCCCACCCTGGAACTCTGGGTTGCATGGTCTGTCTTGCTCCCCTGTTGTTTCTCCCAGTTTATCTGCATGCGGATATGGGATTCCCCAGTTTGCCAGCTGCCACCTTGCTGTGTATCCTCTCTGCCCTGGCTGCCCATCTCCACCGCTCCAAGTCTGGATGAATCTTTCTTCTTTAATTCTTTGGTTGTCAGACTTCATACAGTTTTACTTTCTGGCAGCTCTGGTTAGTTTTGGTTTTTAAATTTATTGTTATCCTTCTTTGGTTGGGCAAGGAAGCAAAGTGTATCTATCTACCTATGCCTCCATCTTAGCTGGAAGCCCTAGAGTTATTCCAAGAATAGACTTGATAAAAACAAGTAGTCTAGTAATCCAAGAGAATTTTACTGTTACATTCTTAAGGATAAATGAGCTGATAATCTAAGGAAATAATGTTGTTATATGTTTAGAGTTATGCAGTTCCTCCCTGACCACCCTAACCACCCTAACCACACTGTTTTGCAAGCTGATAATTTGTTGTGAAAAAGAAAACCTCATATAATTTGGCAAATTGATAAAACAGGGGCTTGTCCAGAAAAATTGGAACATTGTCTTCTATTGATATGATATGAAAATATCGTATCAATGTTAACTTTGATAATTGCACCAAGAATATGGTTGTTCTTAGGAAATACACACTAAAGAATTAAATGGACAATACAAAAATGTTAAAAAAAAGAATTAAGTGGTAAATGACCTGTTCTCAGTTGGTTCAAAACAGTAAACAACTGTGTGTGTGTGTGTGTGTGTGTGTGTGTAGAGAGACAGCAACAAAGGAGAGGAGACAGGCCGTGATGGTACGTTTGCTCTGTTACTAATGCCACCCATGGCCCTGCTATCCAGTCCGCAGATGGAGCGGGTCAGGAAGCGATGTGGACAGTCTGTACTATATAAATTCCTTTTTCCTGGAGGTTTAGACTACCCTGAAACATTTAATAATACAAGTTTCTCCCAAGAGAAGAAGAGTCATTACATCTTAAAATGATAGGACTTCTTAATACTTTTTTTCCATGATTACCAAAGGAATATGTTTTCATTTAAAAATTTTGGAAAGTACAAAAAGTGTTAGGAAACAGAGAAACATCCCACATAATGTCCTTATTCAGAGGTGACCACTGTTAATATTTTTGGTTATTTCTTTCTAATCTGCTTTCTATTACTGTTTTTAAACATAGTTGAAGTCATGTGTCAAATACAATGTTACATCCTGCTTTCTTCTTGTTGTTGATGTTATTTGCTTATTTACCAGAAGCACTTTCCTATAACATTAGAAGTAATTGCTAACTCATTTGATATGCTAAGGATGTAATACAATTTATTTTGCTAGACGAGGGTGTTTGTATTATTGTATTGACAAGAATACGTTACCCTCTTCTCACAGGCCCCAGCTGTGTCGATACGATCTTGTCCTGACGGAAAACACCGAAACAGTGTTCCGGCCGATTCTTTGCCCAAAGTTGCAGATGTAAATGTTGTCAGGACCCGTGAGCGCCAGTAACATCAAGAAAGCTATGGCAGGCTTTTTAAAAGCTTCAGTGCATCTTTTCCTCAAGGCACAAAAAGTATGAAGAAACTAGGGATTTTTCCAGTAGTGTCCTATGGATGTCACATTGCAAAATGTCACACAGCTTTGGATTACAGAGCGGTCCTGGGAAGGGATCCCTCACGTAAGTAGGGCAAGTTAGAAATAGCCAGGCTCCAGGCAGCCCAGCGCCTTGTCTGGCTGCATCCTGGGGCCTCGTTTGTTCCGCCTTGTGATTCTGCTGCCTCTCACTTGGGCAGTTCAGCCCGACAAGCATCTCAAAGGGAAGGACTGGCTGGAGACCTCACTTCGGACTCGACTCCACTTTCCCTATGCCAATTCCTCTGGGACTCCACACGTGGAAGGAAATGGAGACTGACCTACCTCACAGGGCTGTGCGTGGGTCTGGGCGGCAAGTGTGTGAAGGGTTCTTTGAAACCCCATGGGTGCCACATCCATGAGTGGTTTAATAAATGTGAATGTGCTTTTATTTATTTTGATATGGCATATCTAATATGCAATAAGAGAACTACTCTTTATCAACACCAGCTTCTTTCTTGGGCTGTGTGCTCTGGGAAGGCAAGAAAGCCACACCCCTGGCTTCTGACCTTCTCTAAATTGGGAAAAATGTTTATTTTTCCTTATTACTAATGTGACCTATAATCATTAAAGGAAATTTAGAAAATGCAAAATAAATGTATGCTGCACACAATCGCACCTGTTAGGAGTAATTAATATTAACCTTTTGGAATAACGCTAAACAACTTGTGTTGCTAACATGTGAATTCAAAGCATAAACCGGTTTTTTCCTGGGGCACTGGAAGCCTCCAGTCTGAGGAATTCTTAGGCTTCCCTGAACTGTGTGTGATCCATGGATCTGGAATGACTACAGCAGCCAAGCCAAGAGGCCCACATGGCTGAGAACGGAGAGGCCAGAACCAGGGAAGGGCCATCCGTGGGGCCAGATGCCCAGCACGGGGACAGAGACAAAGGGGTGAGCCTCCCGTGTTCCACAGCCATGGCCACTGCAGGGAGTTCTGGGATTCCTGAGTGTCACAGTCCTGGTGACTTCCTCATCCAAGTGATTGTCCTACTGCTTTCTGTAAGAACAGCCCTTGTTTTAAAGAAATGGACTCTATTCCATAAATTATAGAATCTTGTGGATATATTTCTGTGTAGAACATTTTTATATATGTAATACAGAATCTTTCACTTAAGTGAGGGATGCCTGCGGTGAATGACTGAACTCTGAAAGAAATGTCTCAGCGATGGTCCTGCCCACCTGGACATTTTGTCACCCCTCCTCCTCCTTCCCACTTTTCCTCAACCATTGTGGATGGAGCAATAAATATGCTATGGGCCTGGATTTGTTTCAGAGTTTCATTTGTTCTTCATTTTGTGGCTTAGCACAGTCACTTCTTCATCCTTGTTCCCTTGCCTTGTAGACGACAGGTCAAAACAATAGCAAGAAATTGTCAGGAATAGCATTTCTATCGTGTATAAGTTCCTCGGGCCAGCGAGTCTCCCTCAGCTTCAGCTGGTGTCTCCCAGCTTGGTGCCTTGCCCACTGAGGATCGGGTGGATGGATGAGTGAGTGGGTAAATGAGTAGAGGAGGGGGGGAGTTTGCTCACTGGAATGGAGATGAATTTCAGTGAGTTTCATGTAACAGTCCTAGGTGTGACCACTCTTCTCAGAATCTTTCTCCCAAGGTCCCTGGAACTTTGGACTCTGTCTCTTGTTATCCTTACCCCTCTCCTCCTTTCTCTTGGCCAGTGTATCTTTCAGAATCCCAACCTCAAGCTACCCTCTTCCTGACTATAATCACCAATTATCTTCTACTTCGTGTGGATCTTAGCTCAGTTGTCACATCTTTAGGGGAAGTCTGCTCAGACCTTTCTCAGCCGGCACAATGGACTTCCCCCATGTAACACTTTTAAGTTGTATTTTTGTGCATTATTTGTTCACTATCTACTCTTTTTCGCTAGATCGCTCTGCAAGGCAGGAGCTGTGTGCCAGAGTGGTGCCTGCACTTGGGACACAGTGATTAAATGAACACTCTCCATTATCTCGTGAGCCTGTGGACCAAGTTCAGTTGTAAGTCAAGGCCTCCTCTCCCGCAGCCAGCGGGCACGTCCCTGGAGGTGCCCACCAGTCTCTTCCTTTGACTTCTCCCTCAGGCACCTTTGTTATTATTGTCTTCATTATCTCTGGAGCCTCTTAGCCTACTTCCCAGGCTCCCTGAGAAAAAGAGAGATTGGCTTGCTTTCCCACTCCTCTTTGAACCTTCCAAAGGTTCCCAACGCCATTCTTGAGCATTCCTACAAGCCTGAAGCCTGGGAGATTTTGCTCTCCCCCTTTTTAGTGCCTTGCCAAAACCTTCCAGGGCCTTCAGCATTCTCAGATGACTCTGAGGCTGTGGTTCAAAGATGGCCTTGCTTGTTTTCCCAATGCCCTTCCACCACCTTCTTTTCCACCAACTTTGTATGTGCATCCGTTACCGTCTTTATTATGCTGTGATGTATATGTTTCTGTGTCTGTGCCCCCTCCAGGACTGTGAGTGTCCCAAGAGCAGCAGCTATTCATTTCTTGGCTGCTGCAGCACCTAACACCAGGTCAGGCACAAGGCGGGTGCTCATTAAATGTTTGTTGAACAGAACGGACTGGACTCAACTTTAGGACTTGAAGGAGGTCCCAACTACTGTGATTTAGACATTAACACACAACCATTTGGCCCCAAACCCTAAACTTAGAAGCGCCCACCTTTGGACTCCTGCCCTGTACTCTCAGTCCTGCAAAAGCCTATCTTGGCCAAGGAAATCTGGGATGCTAGTGACAGAAATCTGCCCGTACTAACCCAAATTTTATTAAAGAGGTTACTTGTAGAAACTAGGAAGAGCTGAACCATCAGACTCAGCAAGGGCAGGGATTGGGGCAGCCCGTAGCCTTCAGCAGCAGGAGTTCATGGGCCTTTATTAACCCTAGTGCTCTGCCATGAGTCTCTCTGACTCAGCTCAGCTCTCACCCCAGGGCAGCTAGACCATTGGGGTCCTTGAGACCATGGGGTCCTCAGCCACTCGTTAGGTGGCCTGATCCCAAAGTTCAGGGAGAGGAACCAGTCACTGGAACCTCTTGGGGAAGGTGGTCCTTCCTGTTCTCAGCAGTTATTGGTTGGAGTGGCGTGGGGAAGCAAAATCATGTCCTCAGAGCTGCTCCTTTCAGTTGCTCTGTGCAGAGCTGATTAAGCCAGAAAAGGAGGTTGCTACTGACAAACAGCCATGATAAGTGCCTGGCTAATTCACTCTCACTGGAACCTCTTGCCTTTTCTTGCCTTGTACTTCCCTGAGCCATCCTGCTTCCCAGTCCAGCATGTGTCCCTCATTGAGGGTGAAACTGTCCTTTGCCAGGCTGCCTAGGCATGTACTGTAAACAAATGGCCTTGATGGAGGCTGGTGCAGCCTGAAGGCGGTGCACTGGCTGGTTAGAGTTAGCTCTTCAGGTGTTGGATTGGGGACCAGGAGAAATGGGGAGACTGAGGTTGGAGTGGGGAGCTCAGTCCAGGGCTTCCTTCCCAATCAGACAAGTTGGGCAGGAGGAACCAGAACAGGAGTTGCAGTGAGGGGTGGTAAGTCAGGGACAGCAAGCAGAGGCTTGGGTAGTGAGCCTGTAGGGAAATTTGCATTTCCCCAATAGCTCTGTCACAGGTTCTTTACCACCTCCTGTTGGCTGAATCCCACAACCTTTGTTCAGGTCTCCTTGCTGGATTTTTCCATGGGCTCTGACACTGAGCACTGGTCCTTTTCCTCATAGTCTTGCTTGGGCTCTGAGGGCACCTCTCCTGCCCACTTCCATTTCTCATCCAACATCCTCGAATGAACCACCTGGTTCTCTTTCACTGGTTCCACTATTTACTGACCTGGCTTCTGACCTCAGTCTTCTCTCACAAAGGTACAGGAGGGCAAGAGACTAGATGCTCTGTTTGCTGGTGTTTGACCTCTGCTGATTTCAGTCTTCCTAAGCTCCCATTTCCTAGACTGTAAAGTGGGGGCTATTAAGAGTCCTTGCTTCATATTATATAGAATAAACACATTTCTGCATGTAAAACGCTTACTGTGAAGCCTTGAGTGTGTACTCAGTGAATGTCAGCTGCCATCACTTCTTTCCTCCCCTCATTTCAACTGTCTCCTCTAGAGGCAGCTGCTGTCCAAATCTGATGTTCAGTCTGAGCTCCGAATTTTCACCTGCCTGTTGAGAGGCAGCACAGGGCAGAAGGAAGTGCATGGGCTCAGGGGGGGCAGACAAGGGCTGAGCCCTGTTCAGCACTCCCAGCTCTGGGCTCGAAAAGTGACTTCATCTGAACACCCCGCTCACCTACTCATCTGTAAGTGGGATAATGATACTTGCACCTGTGGAGTGGAATGAGCTTTGGTATGTCTGTTCCCTTCATGGCACTTACCATGTTCTGGAATTATATCTTTCTCCATGCTCTCCCCCAACCAAGGGAAAGTGAAATCCTTAAGAGCAGGAGCAGGAGCCTTGCCTTCCTATTCACTATTTCGTTCCTTGCCCCAGCATACTGCTGACGCAAGCTCAGTAACACTGGTTTCTCATTCACTTTCTGTATTCTGTTGACTTCTCAAAATCAGCGTACCAAACAACTAGTCATTTTCTTGCCAACTCACCGCACTGGACAGAGCCCCTGCTTCTACACTGGCTTAGTTTGGTTGGTGTTACAGCTGGTTGTGGACAAGGCTGTCTTGACCACCAGACTGCAAGCACGCTGTGGGCAGGACTCGTGATTTGCCTCTGGATGTCCCAGCGCCTGGCAGAGAGCCTACAAATACTTGAAGAAAACAACGTTAATAAACGTTAAAAAAAAAAAGGCTAAAGAAGATCAGACAGGCAAGAAGGACCAGAAGAAAGGCTTCCTCTGGAATTCCAGCCCGGGCGGAGTTTGTCTGGGCGGGGGCGGGGCCTCGATCCGGGGCGGGGCTTGGCGCGGGTCCCGCCCCGGTCCGTCTGCGAACGTGTTCCCCAGCTCGGGCCGCGCGGTGTGGGCTTAGGGGCTGGCTCCGGGCTCCTCCGCGGCCTGGCGGTCCCGGGCGGGCGCCAAGATGCGCGCCCTCCTCTGTCTGTTCCTGGTCTTCATTGGCTGCACCTTCACCTTGTACTTGCTGTCGACTCGACTGCCCCGCGTACCGACACGGGGCTCCGCTGAGGACACTGAAGGCAGGTGAGTGGCATGGACTGGGGTTCGGGTCACAGGAAAGGAGTCAGTGTCGAGGATGGAGTCTGGGAATCGGAGATATCGGTTCCTGGATCGGGGCTGACAGGGTTGAGAATTGGGGTTCAGTTTTAGGACAGGCGATAGGGGGTCTGGAGCTGTGGTCGGTTGCTTTGAAGTGGTGATTTGCGTAGGGAAACGCAGCGCTTTACGCCGGGCGGAGGCTGCTTGCACGCCTCTGGTCGCGCGGTGGCTTCACCTGCCCTTCGCGTTCCGGTCGCTTTCCCAGACTCCGCCCTAACTCCTATTTGCAGATGACCCCCGCCCCTGTTTGGACCTGCAGCCCCTTCTTCACGACTGCTGTCAGCTTCCCACCATCGTCCTCTCTACCTCACCTCACTTAGGTCTGCCCTTGGGACTTTAAGGCAGCTGGTCTTCAGGTGAAACGTTTGATGGACAGCTTTAAATTATTCAGGAATTAATTTTAGGGCCTGTCCGACTTGCTGGCTGTCTCTACCTTTCCCCTTATTATTACAGACTGGGTGAGGCAGGAGGCCGCGTAATACCTACCAGGCTGGTTTGTCGTGAGTGCTCTGCTGTTTGTACAGTTCATGGGAGTATGCCTGGCAAGCATCGCGTCAAGGATGTTACTGATATTTGAATATTAAGACAATTGTTTCAGTTACTGGTTTTTTTTTTTTTTTGCTCTAGCTGGGAAGGCTTTGCTGTGGGTGTCAGATATGCTAAGAGAAACATTTTGATGAGAACTGGGAGGGTTTGCCTATTATTGATCACGGATGGATTCAAGGGTTGTTCAGGTAGGAGAGACAAAGCAGCCTTTACACTGCAACCCTTGTACGGGACTCAGAGTACATTGAGGACCAGATAAAGAGCAGGATGTTAAAGCAGGAAAGGGTTAGTTTCAAGCTTCACATATTATCAAAAGGTATGTTTATGGTGCTGGACAAGTATACTTTCCCAGAGAGCCTTTAATTTGCTTGTTACTGTCTGATAAAACAGCCGTTTTACCTAGAAACTCAAGAACAGGGTGAAGTTTGACTTGTCCTTGGCCTCAAGTTTGTTGGGGAGGGGGCACTCCTTGAAAGGAAGGCAATTTAGGAAGTTAAGTACTTGCCTGGTAATTAATCCATTTACTTCTTAAGAGTAGATCATAAAATCTGAGAGCTGAACAGGACCTTAGAGATTACCCAATGTTAACACTCATTTTTCAGATAAGGAGACTGAGGCCCAGGGACTAGGCCAAGATCACGCAGCTGGATAGTAGCAGAGTTCAGATGCTAACCCAGGTCTCTGGCTTCCAAACCCCCTGTGTTGCATTCGGTCACCCGTCATCTGAGGCACCCATTGTGTGTATATTTCCAGAAGACCAGATGATGAGTGCACTTATACACCTGCTTTGGAAAGACAACACCACAAGTGATTTTCATAGGTACTAGGTTGGTCTGGACTCATGTTTGTATCTGCTTTTCCAAATCTTCAGGTCACTGTGGTTCCCCTCTGACCTGGCTGAGTTGCGGGAGCTCTCTGAGGTCCTTCGAGACTACCGGAAGGAGCACCAGGCCTACGTGTTCCTGCTTTTCTGCAGTGCCTACCTTTATAAGCAGTGCTTTGCCATCCCTGGCTCCAGCTTCCTGGTCAGTGCCCTGTCCTCTGTCTGTGCCTGTCAGGAAGCCACCTTCTGTCTTTGTAGAGAGTCCCTTAGAGGGGACAGACTACTGTGACTACCATCGTTTGACAGCTTCCCTAGTGGTTGGTATGCCCTAGTTGTTTCAGCTGCATGACCTTATTTAATGCTCCCAACAGCCTTATAAACGTGGGCAGAGGTTGAGTAACTGTCCAAAGGGACAAGGTGAGGAGGGGGTGGGCCTGGCATCAGAGCCAGCTTCCACCCAGCCCCGGAGTCTGCCTTTCCCCTCAGATAGGCTGCTTTTGTTTCCAAGGCACTGAGAAAGTGGAGCACTGTTCTTCAGAGAAACACACGTGTGCCCTGCGCTGGGTCAGCTCTTCCCCCTCGGAGCTCCTGTGATGCTGTGAATTTTGGCAGTTTCAGATGAAGAAGCAAACATGTTTAAGGAACAGCCAGGGGGAAAAATCTGTTTTTAGGGAGCCCAGCTCCTTCTGATGTAGGGCCCCCCTCAAAAAATCTGTTTTCTCCATTAGTTTGTGGGTTCCTGAGTTCCTTGAAGGTAGGTCCTGTTTCTTATTCCCAGCCCTTGTATTCCTTTGCCTGGCACAGTGAGGTGCCTTCATAAGTGTTTGATGAACAAATGCAAGTTGTTCGTGGTAGTGTGAGGTGGTAGTGTGAGGCTGTAGAGGATCGAGAAGTTTCCCTGGTGTGGAGAGAACAAGTCATTCTGTTTTTCCAGGTGGCCCCTCTGGAGCCAAGTGTCAGACCTGAGCTTGTTCTCTGGCCGTTGGATGCTACTCGTCAGTTGCCATTGCAGGTTCCACAGAATAATCCGTGCTCTCCTCCCAGCAGCACTGTAAACCGGTTCACGTGAATGTTCGAGGAGGGGTCTGCTAGGGCACGGGGCGGCTTCGAATCCCAGCTGTGTGACCACGGGCAAGCCTTTTAACTTCTCCAACTCTGTTTCCTCATATGGAACCCTCTAGGGTTGTTGCATGGAGCAATTAAATGAGACTGGGAGTCAAGTGGCTGGCATGGTGACAGTGCCTGACACACAGTGGTCCCCAAGCACTTGTTGAATGATTGAATAAGGAACAGGAAATCCTGCTTCTGTCTCCTGCCCCAACATCTTCTCTCTACTGCAGGCTTAGGCTTGATCTGCTTAAGCAGTTCCTTTGTTGGAAACTGAAAGAGAAGCAAACGTGGCCATGCCAATAGAGAAAGGCGAGGTGTGTGGTGTTCGAGGTCGGGGACTGGCTCCTCAGGTGCCTGCCTTCCCACCTGAGCTGATCCCTGTTTAGAGCAAACAGACAGCTGCCACCTAGAGGTGACCCGTGTCTCTGCCTCGTGTGATCTTGGGCATGTACTTAATCTCTCACCTGTAGAACAGGGTAAGGATAGTTATGACACAGGGTCATGGAGAGATTGAAGAAGGGTCCCACCTTTGGCAGAATGACGTTAACCAGCCAAATTGCATTTAGGAAGCATTGGCTCACTTTGTCATTTTGGTTAATCTAAGGCTTTTTTGAATGTCACCTAGATCTCTATTCGACATGAAACCCTCATCATTAGCATACCACATAGATGTAATTCCAGCACAAAGCAAAGACAGAAGATATTTTATTTACTTATTTTTAAAGATTGTATTTATTTTTAGAGAGGGGAAGGAAGGGACAAAGAGAGGAAGAGAAACGTGGATGTGAGAGAGGAACATCGAAGGGTTGCCTCTCCTATGCAACCTGGTCTCCGACTGGGGACTGCACACACAACCCAGGCATGTGCCCTGACCAGGAATCGAACCTGCAACATTTAGCTTTATGGGACGATGCCCAAGCAAGTGCACCACCCCGTCAGGGCAGAAACAAGACACTTTATATATAGTTTGTGTGGTCTTACTGAGAGAAAATTCATGGTTGTGTTCATTTAAAATGGTAACAATAACTTGTGAGTTTCAGTTCTGCCTCCTCGAACACCCGTGTTTGCAGGACATACCACAGCAGCAAGTTCCTATTTTCTCATTTGATTCTCTCCTGCCCTCTGAGGTTTTAATCCTCACCCCTGTTTTATAGGTGAAGAGAGCAAAGCCAGGGTTGTAGTTCTCAGCTTGTGGAACACTTTTCATTCTTTAAAGTGGGAGCCGGGTTTTGGCCAGGAAGGTGTAGGGAACCTATGGCTCTCTTTTTTTTAATCCTCACTTGAAGGTGTGTTTATTGGTTTTAGAGAGACAGAGAGGGAGAGAGAGAGAGAGAAACAGAGAAACGTTGATTGGCTCCCTCCCACACGGGGATCAAACCTGCAACCTAAGTATGTGTCCTGGCCAGGGATTGAACCCACAACCTTTTGGTGCACAGAACAACGCTCCAGCCACCTGAGCACCCCGGCCAGGGCAACTCTTCTGTTTTTTTAATTGAATTTATTGGAGTGACATTGGTTAATAAAATAAAACAAGTTTCAAGTATGCAGTTCTACAATACATCATCTGTGTGTTGCATTGTGTTCACCACCCCAAGTCAGGTCTCCTTCCATCACCATTTATCCCCCCGGAACCTGTGACTCTTGACTTCCCGGATGAGGTGTCTGCCAGCTGCCAGATGTTCTCTCGGCTGAGGGTTTGTTTTCTTTGCAGAACGTTTTAGCCGGTGCTTTGTTTGGGCCATGGCTAGGGCTTCTGCTGTGCTGTGTGTTGACATCGGTGGGTGCCACGTGCTGCTACCTGCTTTCCAGTATGTTTGGCAAACAGCTGGTGGTCTCCTACTTCCCTGATAAAGTGGCCCCACTGCAGAGGAAGGTGAGTGGAAGCAGCACCTCCGAGTGCTGGACTCCCATAGAGTCACCCCAGGGCCCTGAAGGCAGTGAGGGCAGGGATTTCCCAGTGTTCCTCCACTGCTTCTGGGAGCCCTAGGGGTTCTTTTAATGGCTCTGAGAGGCACAGACGTGGGATCAAATCCCAGCTCCAGCATTTCCTGTTCTGTGGCTTTAGGCAAATTCCTGATATCCGCGAGCCTTAGGTATTACTGTTTTAAAAACAAGGAAAACAGTCTCTACCCTGGAGCGTCGTTGGGGAGTTGGGGACAGGGCATGTAAAGTGACCAGGACAGTGCCTGGCACCAGTGGGCTTCAGTACCTGGGACTCTTTCTGCTTCCTAATGGCCTTGTCTTCTTTGGCTGCAGGTGGAGGAGAACAGAAACAGCTTGTTTTTTTTCCTACTGTTTTTGAGACTTTTCCCCATGACACCAAACTGGTTCTTGAACCTCTCGGCCCCGATTCTGAACATCCCCATTGCACAGTTCTTCTTCTCTGTTCTTATCGGTAAGAAGCTGATGGAGCGCGTGTGGGTCTTCAAGCGGCCGGGCGGGGGCACTGCCCTGGGTTCCCGGCCGCGCGGCGTGTGCCTGCCTCTGAGAGCAGCGGCTGGCAGGAGCGTCGTCAGCCTTACTGGCTGACACCCTGATTTCAGTCTACTCAGGCTTCAACAAGAAACCTTATCCAACTACTTTCAGAAAAAGTGGGACTGTTTATTCCACCACTTTGTTAGTACCTGCTGTGTGCCAGGCACCGTGCTAGGCACTGGGATTAGGGGAACAATCTAAAGCATAGGACTTGGCCCCTGGTAGGTGCTCAGTGAACATGAGCAGGAAGTTCAGGGTTGGAGTAAGGGTACGTGGACAGAAGAAATGGCAGAGACAAAAGAAAGGAACAGAGCAAAGGACTTCCTGTTTGGGTTTGGCCCCTCTTTTAATAAGATCTGCCCTAGGAAGGAGCTGGGAACACTGAAGCTCCTCTTACCTTTTGACAGTTGTGTGACCTAGAGCAAGCCAGTTACTCTCAGTGGGCCACTTGGCCAGATGAGGGGCTAGCAGGGAGGGGAAGGATAATCAGAGTGCCTCAGTTAGCAGCCTGTAATAACCTAGATGGCACAAAGCTTGGGAAGCACCTGGACACCAGAGTTCCAGTCCCCCTCTGACCAGCTGTGCAGTGTTGAGTGGTCTGTGGTCTTGAGGAGTCATTTGCAGAAGAGGGGTGGATTGTCTGGGGGTCCCAATCCAATCAGAGTGGACAGGGGAGGGGCTTTTAAAATGCATGTTCCTGTGAGAGGATCTTTTTTAAGAAGATGAAGAAAGAGAATAAAAAATATGAACAATAAAATGGCAATAGACGCATTTGTTGACAATTGAATAAAAAAATGAACAAGCAGAACAGAAACAGACTCATAGGTACAAGAACGATTTGATGGTTGCCAGATGGGAGGGGGGCTGGGGTGGTTAAGAAGGACAAATGGACTGTTACAGAATAGCCATGGGGATGTAAAGTGCATCACAGGGTCTGGGCAGCAACATTCTAATGACAGTGGTGCCCGCTGGGTGCGCGATTTATCGGGATGATCACTTAGTAAGTTAAGTAGTATCTAATCATTGGTGCGTATACCTGAAACTAATATAATAACGTATGTTAACTGTAATTGAAAATAAAAAATGATAAATTTGAGAGAAAAGAAAAAAATGCAGGGCCCCGATGCATTACTAGACCTGGGTGACCAGAGTCTCGGGGTGGAGCCCGAGGGTATGTTCTCATCATGAGGGCGGTCACACCCCCAGCCTGTCTGGCCCCCCCTCAGCCTTCTGTGGTTCAGGGGGTCTGATGGCCTGTTAGAATCAGCACCGAACATGAAAAGTGGCACTTCTGTGGAAGCTGTTTGTTCTCACGTTCAGCTGTAAATCTTGTAATGCTGGAGCTCCTCCTGACTTGGCTCTGGGTGGCTCCGCAGCAAATTTGGGGCCCATCGCTAGCAAATGGGTGAGCCTTATGCATTTCTGTCCTAGCGGTACTCCCTTATTTTAGTCTTCATTCCTTTTGTGTTCCCTGTTAAAATCTTTTTTTTTTTTTTTTTTTTAATGGTGCCAGTATGGTTTATTAAGCTGTGCCTTAGTACAGACGCTGGGGCTTGCCCATGGTGCTCTTGATATACAAAGCCCGGACGTTCTGCCAGTTCTTTTTGAGTAGTGACACCAGGAAATTGACAGCTAAGTGGATGTTGTACACAAGCTCATCATCTGTCATCTTCACGTGGCCAACAGCCACTGCCAGACACAGCACCTTCTTCATCTGGAACTTAATTGTGGATTTGACTTCATCAACTTTGGCCACCATGTTCTCATTGTGGGTCAACAAGGAAGGGAACTTGCCAGCCTTATTCAGGCCTGGGCCCAGGATTCGTGGGATCTGCTTGATCAGAGACTCCGAAGCCAAAAAGGCATCATACTTCTTGGCCAGCTTCTTGACCAGTTTCTTATTCTTGTTGAGTTTCTTCAGCGCCTCAATGTCCATGTGGGGGATGTCCATGGCCTTGGCCTCATCGCAGTGCTGCTGGTCCCCCAGAACACACACGGAGAACTTGGGACGGGGGGTGGACTTAAGCCTGACGGTGCCCGAGAAGCGTTTGTCCTTCTGGGGGTCATAGTTCTTCAAGCTGATCTGCAACTCCACCGTCTCCGGCGCTTGCGCTGGTTCCCGTGCAGGACTTCCCGCACCGCCTCGTAGAGGGTGTCGCGGGAGACTTTGCTGCTCATGACTCCTTACGCGGCAGAAACCGGAAAAGGCTGTTAAAATCTTTTTAATCTTACTGTAGTGTATTTATTTTTGTAAACCACTTCAAAGCAGGGGTATATGGAAAGTGAAGAAAGGAGGGGAAAAGTGGAAAAGAAGGAGAGAAAGAGGTAATAGGTTTAGGGGTCAGGAGCTGGGGAGAAAGCCAGACCTGGGGAGCCTGCTGTGAATTTTTGGTGACATTTCTGAAGGGTCACCGTTCTTCCTCTTCCCACCCCTCCAGTAACCGGCTGTTTCCCTTTCCTCCTTCCAGGTTTGATCCCCTACAACTTCATCTGCGTGCAGACAGGCTCCATCCTGTCAACCCTCTCCTCTCTGGATGCTCTTTTCTCCTGGGAAACTGTCTTCAAGCTGTTGGCCATCGCTCTGGTGGCTTTAGTTCCTGGAACCCTCATTAAAAAATTCAGTCAGAAAGACCTACATTTGAATGAAACAAGCAACACCAATCATCTAAGTAACAGAAAGGGCGAGTGATCGGGGGTCTGGTCACCGGGTCCCTGGACTCTGTTGCCCATGTGTGTAGTGGGTGTGGTCCTCCACAGCCTGTTGTGTTTTTGGTCACCCTCTACGGGTGGTTTGGACACTGTTCGTCTGCGTGCAGTGTCTTGTCATAAAGGACACTGCTCTAGAAGGTGAATTCTATCAGGTGTAGTAAGACACTCTGTCAAATGGATAGCCTCTTAGAAAATCCAGTTTATGTTTTCTTGACAAGGAACTCGGGGTGGTCTGCTGTGTTTGCCTCTCGCCAAGCCCCGAGCTGCCTCGGGCAAGCGTGCTGACCCTCCCCGTGCAGAGGCCTCTTTTGCAGCGTGATAGGCTGTTGTGACAGGTGTTCTGTTAAGTCCCTGGTGTTTGTTATTAGTGTAAACCATGGCCTGTGAACCTGTGTCACTGACCTCACTCTTCATCATGTTAGTCCTGTGAAGAGTGTTTCTTCTGCACTTTTTTGCCGATGACCTACCTCTTCCGTAAACCAAGGGGAAGACACCGCCAAACTGCTTTGCACTTCCGCGTGCAGCTCGGACGCAGTGACTTCTGTGACGCCCTTTGTGTTCAGGCACGGGTGTTCCCGTGTGTCATGTTCCCTCTCGGTGGCGTGTCTTGACAATGCTGGTGATTGCAGACTATTAAATGTGAGGGGAGCAAACTCTATTTTATGGACATGGTCGGGAGAAATTCCTGTCCACCTGGACAGTGCAGGGCCCTCGACTCACTCAGACTGAGTGACCATCAGTAGATTTTCTGATGTGTTTTTTCTGGGTGGCAAGTCCTTCTCTGCCCTGCTGGGGGGATGGATTCAGTACACTCAGACATTAGCCCGTTTACCCTCCGAGTGTTTTTCAGTGTGTCATTTGCCAAGAATAACTCGAGGAATAATTATACTTTATCTTTTCATTCTAAGAGGAAAACTTGGTTTGGGGTCACTTGTTCTGTAGTCTTTCAATTACCTGTAGCTGTCGTTGCTTCCTGTAGCAGCAGCATTGAACTGGCACAGACCCGGGTCAATGCTTCCCAGGTAGAAGGACCTCCGCACCTAAACCGAGCAGCTCTGGGATCCTGTCCCATACAGGAGTAACCCCGTTCTCACCAGAATCATTGCTCTTGGGCATGATCTGATGGGTTTTTGATTTGGCTTGACCATGAATCTCGCCAAGGCTTTTTAATCTAGGGCACATGTTTCACATGAATTCTTGAGAAGGAATTCCCAAGCATTGTGTTTTGGACTTGTGTGATCCAAAACAACAAAAAACCACAACAAAACCACCACAAAGAAGTGTTGCTTTAAAAGAAGTTTGATAACAGGGTGGGATTGAAGAGGAGGCCAACTGGACTTTGCAATCTGGACTTTGGAATCCACGGCTCTGTGTTCCCGGCCCGGAGTGGGGGAAGGGAGGGAGAAACAAGGAAGCTCTCTGTACTTTGCCCTTTCCTGGGATCCTCAGATTGGTCTGTCCACCGCACCCCTCATAACCTTGCAACAATGTGCCTTAGCAGTTGTGAGTTTACAGGCAAAGAAATTTCCCGAATAAATGGATGTAAATGTTCTCTGTAGTATGCGTTTGTACTGTACACGTTGCTAACTTTCAGTTCCCTTTGCCAGTGGTAATCTGGTTCTGCTGAAAATCAGACACTCCAAAATGGTATTTTAGCTCTCCCAGGCTAAATATTTTTCGGAAGCCAGATTTTCACTTCACCCTTTTCCCTCTCTATGCTTGCTTTATAGTGGGGTTGCAAATAATGCCTAAGAGCTATGAGATGGGCAGCAGGAAAGCCGTAGGTGAGGAGCGGAGTGCTTACCTAGGCCGTGCCCGCATAATCAGGAAGAGACTAAAACAAAATAAAACAATGGTGGTCTCTTCCTTTTGTGCGTGTGTCTAATGAGAGAACCACAGGAATGGCTTGCCAGCACCTAGTTTTTCCTGGCTGCAGGAAAACCAGTCATGTAAAGTCTTTTCCCTAAAGTACTGATACACGCTGAGATTTGTGAAGGCAGCTCCCAGGACATAACCAGTGCCTTTAAGAAAAGATGAACAGCCCTGGCTGGTGTAGCTCAGTGGATTGAGTGCAGGCCTGTGAACCAAAGGATCGCAGGTTCAATCCGCAGTCAGGGCACATGCCTGGGTTGCAGGCCAGGTTCCCAGTACGGGGTGTGTGGGAAGCAACCCCACATTAATATTTATCTATTCTCCCTCCTTCCCTCTCTGTCTAAAAATAAACAAAATCTTAATAAAAGGTGAACCAAAAAACAGTGAAAAACACCTCTTGTTGAATTCCACACATATGCTTTGGTAGTCACTCTGCTCCCATTGTTGTGTAGTCGGTCGTTTGACAAAGGGAGTCGGCATCAGAGACCAACACAGTGCAGGGGACCGTCAGTTCGGAGACCACAGGGGACCCAGATGAGGGAGGGTGTTTTGAGACTTTACCATAAAAATGAATTTAACGTGCTCCAAATTGATAGGGAACTCAAATGATTGCAGTAAAGAATTGAAGTGAGTCTTCCCCTTTCAGGAGCCTGAGAAGCGGTCACTGGAGGTAAAGAGCTCCCCAGGTGACACCTCCGTGAGGCACGTCTTCCTTGTAGCTTGCACTTGCTGACGCAACCACCGGAGGACCCCATCGCCCGGTCACGGGGCCGCGGCCTGGAGCCAGCATCCCCCTGGGCCCTGTGAAGTGGCTGTTGTGAGTAGGTCTGATTCTGCAAGTTTCTGTACAGATGCCTTGCATTGGCTTGGGGGTTGGCTCCATGTGAAATCCTGCCATCACGCTCTGGTCACGCAACAGCTCGTCAAAGCCTGAACTCCTCTGGGGTAACCCTTTTCCTCAGAGCTCCCCTCTTCTGCCACCTGTCCCTCAGAAGTGTTCCAGGTTCCACGGGGTCCTCTGCCCGGGGGCCTGGAGCGCTGACTGTAACATGCAAACAAGTGGACTATGGGTTCTTGCGTGCTAGTGTGTGAGGTTGGGAACACTGGGGGCGTGGATATACTCGGACATTTATTCCATGAAATCAGCAAAGAAAATCTTGCTGCCTGGCAACTCACTGAATTCACACTGACAGTACAAGTCAAGGTCTTAAAAAAAGAATGTGGCATTGTTTTGGTACATTAGTCTCACAAAGTCGAAGGAAAAAGCAAGTAAGTTAACATACTGTATTAACTTTCTGTTTAGAGAAAGTGAGGGAAGAACATGCTTCTTTAATGCAATGGAATGATGTAAATGAAGAGACGCATTTCGGAGTTCAATTTGTCAGTGGTTGGAGATTATTCAATTGGAATTGTAATCCAAAAGAGCAGTGGGTAGAGTCAAGTGGTGCTGCCGCCGAGAGCAGGAGGGTGGGGGATCCATAGGGAGAACAGGGCTGTGATCTTCTCATCTTCCACTGGGGCTGACTCCGGAACTCAGACCACCTTCTGGAAGTTAACTGTGAGCACAGCAGTTCTAAGCTGTGGTCATTGCGGCTCTAAGCTGGGGCTGTGTTGTGAGAGGTTCTGAGGCTGTGCCCAGGCTCGGCAGGAAAGAATACGGTGACCAGTAAGTAACGCTGGTCTTCGGTGTTTGGAGTATAGGTTGCTGATGGTTGTATGTGGTGGCATTTTGGTTTCTGGCTTAGTGGCAAAATAGAAATAACTAACTAACTAACTAACTAATCTCTAAGAGCAGAGGCAGAATTGCTAGGTTTCCAAGTATTGTGTTCAATTTTGGAGAATTCAGTTCCAGGAACATTTTAAGGGGGAAATGGGAGACGTGGGGGATGGGGAAAAAGAGTAAATCATTTGACCAATAAGGATGCATGTACACCGAAAGGACGTCCGTGCTCCACCCTGGGGGAGGGCATTTAAAATTGGGTTGGGCCCTGGCTGGTGCAGCCCAGTGGATTGAGCGCAGGCCTGCGAACCAAACAATCGTGGTTCGATTCCCAGTCAGGGCACATGCCTGGGTTGCATGCCAGTTCCCAGCAAGGAACGAGTGAGAGGCAACCCTACATTGATTATTTCCCTCTCTCCTTCCCTTTCCTTCCCCTCTAAAGATGAATAAATAAAATCTTTAAAATAAAATAAAATAGGGTTGGTACCAGGAAAACCCAAAGCCATCAAATCCATTACTTTGGGTACAAGGGCAATTTAGCACAAAGAGGCCCTGAAATGGATGTCCAGTACTTACTGAATTCTACCAAAAATATCCTTCATTCTTTTTTAAAAAGATTTTAAAAATTTATTTATCTTTAGAGGGGAAGGGAAGGAGAGAAGGAGAGAAACATCAATGTATGGTTGCCTCTCATGGGTCCCCTGCTGGGAATTGGCCTGCAGTCTAGGCATGTGCCCTGACTGGGAATTGAACCACTATCTTTTGGTTCATAGGCCTGTGCTCAATCCACTGAGCTACATCAGCCAGGGCAATATTCTTTATTCTTGAAGGATGGGTTTGTTGATGCTAAAGTTTTAAACTATCTGAACCTCAGCGGGCCAGACCAGGTCATCTTACAGCAGAGCCAGCATCTCCACCTCCCTGCAGAGGTGCTCCCCGCCATCTTGCAAACAGTTCTAAACTTTAAGCTCCATTATAATTTCAAGTGGATGCAGGCTTCTCAGTGTGTCTGCTAAGCAGTGTTTAAGAGGAATTGTTATTCAGTGTACATAATCTAGAAATAGATGGAAATCAGAAACAAAGGTCTACCTGCAACACAAATTAAAACTCCATTATCTTGCAGTCAGTCACAAACATGCAAAATGAATAGGGACATTCATCCCAAGGGGGTTAAACTTTCAGTCAGTCATGAAGCTGCAAACCACAGCCTGGTGGCGTTCCTTAAAGCACCATCGCTCAGGCATCAGGACTGAAGAATTAGCTCTTAAATTCCCTGAGCTCCTGATTCCACGCTCTTCGGGTGACTGTGGAGTCCTCAAAGAAACACACCAATTCACTACTGTGCTGGGGACCTCGGGCAGGCAGGAAAGGGCAGGGCGGGGACAGAGAGGGCATTTCTCTTTTTAACCTAAAGACACTGGTCTTCCCTGAAGCCTCTGGTCACTTCTACTCAGTGTGGAACTTCATTCAACTCTTGCTGATACGGCAAATGACTAAAGATTCGATGCTGTGCACTCCCCTGCATGCTCACAACAGTATGTCCTGACAGGTGTACAGCATTACTATGACAACAGTGAAGGTGGGGAATCAAAACGTGTCAGAAGTAGGAGGTGTCAGGAGGGGTTTTCTAGGAAGATCGTGAGGGAAAGGTGTCACGTTTCTCTTTTTGCCAAGTAGGTGGGCAAGGACCAGGCCCGCTGAAGTGTCAGCTTGGAGCTGCGGCCCCTCTGTTCCCAGAAGTGCAGAACCAGAGAGGCTCAGAGCATCATGTGGTCAGAAAACAGGCTCTTCAGGTGGCACTCCTCCTCTGAGCCCTGTGATGGGCTTCCTTAGAAGCCCTATGAGCTTCTAAGTGGCCACGCTTCTCTAAAATGTTTCTAATCTTGTAGGATGATGTCAAAAACATGTATATAATATATTTTTTAGTTTCCCTGCTACCCCCAACTAGGAGAAAACAGGCTGGTGTTGTGGAATCTGGCAGGGACAAGAGGACCAACTCTGCTAGCAGGTGCTGGAACTACCTAGCCCACGGGCCCCATGCAGAAATCCTCCAGGTCTGTTCCTCATAGGGCATTAAATAACTCTCTTTTGGCTTCTAGTGTAGTCTCATGATTTTATTTCTTAAGAAACTTGAGAAAGGTTACAGCTTTTGAACTATTCGTCCATCCACTCAGTCATCTGCCCGCCCAGGCACTGTCGGGGTAAGTCAGAGTCACCACGTACCAACTGGGCCCCGGGGCGGAACACGCATCCTCCGGTGATTGTTGCTGAACACAGAGAACGAGGGGGGGAGGCGCCTAAGGTGAACATGGGAGAGCTCCCAAGGGGCAGTTCCATTTTCATAAAAATCATAAAAATTCATGATAACTCATGGTTAGCAATAAACACAATCATTGTGCTACATTGTAAACCACACCTTCTGATCGACAGAAAATGAGCATAATTATTATAAAATAAAATAACAATGATAATAATGCCATAACTTAAGATCTTTCATGTAGTCCAGCTACAGAATTTATACAAAATGGAATAATTTAATGCAAACAATACTGCTCTCTGTATAAGTTAAACATTTTTCCTTCATTTACCTAAGATCTATAAATTATAGACACTAACTTTTAAATTAATATCTCAACATAAATTGTAAACAAAAGGAGGGGTCAAATAAGCAAAAGGAACTGCTCTAAATTCCCTCCTGCCTTTCCTGTTTGGCTGATGCAGTCAGTGACGCCAGGCAGGGCGGTGCTCCGTCCGCACCGGGAATGGTCTGTCCCTGCCCCTGCAATCCTTCCTAGGGGCGAGCGTGCTGCTGTGTCAGAGTGCGGCCGCCTTCAGCAGACCTGAGCCTGGGGACATTGTATGACAGAGACAGGAACTAGGCCAACACCTGTTTTTTTGTGTAAAATTCTACAGAAAAATTAGCTTAAAGCTGAGGTACCGTGGAGTACTTTGGGATGCCTTTCAGAGCCCAGGACCCTGGACAGGAAGGACCTCATGCATTGGGCCAGGTGAAATCTTCCTAATTGCTGCTCAGCATCAGCTGCTCTGTTCACAAACTGCCAAATCCAATGATTTAAAACTGCACTGACCCAAAGAGAAGTAAAATATATTTTACAAACAGCATTTAACAAAAAATGCTATTGTGGTGTGGGGGGTGGTGCTGCCTTTTGCAAGTTGCCTATTTTGCCTTTATTCTGATAGTGGTAGCCAGGCACTAATGCTTACAGGGTAGAAGGAGTTAATGAGTAAAGCCAGGGGATGGTTTGGGACTGGACACCGGGGAGACTCACACACGTCCTAGCTGCCTTCGAAGTCTGTTCTCCTGTTTGAATCAATATGATTCTAGGAGACAAGCCACCCGGTTCCAGAGAGGGGCGATTCCAGCTTCCGCAGAAGCTGGACGGAGGCAGCCTGACAACGACCGGCACAGACACACAGACCGCGCGCTTCTCTGACGCTGCCGTCAGTTTCTGTTTCCGCTCATCCCTGTCTCCTCCGCAGCGCCCCCCTTCCCTGATCAAAGTGGTCAGTGGGTGGAAAGGAAATGGCTACAAGAAAATGGCACATTGGTCAAGGGAACACGTTTGTCGAGGTAATGACAACGACAGCATGTAAAAGGTAAGTATTTGTCTAGGAAGGTTTCACTCTAGCTGTAAGTCTCGCAACCAAATGCTGCTTAAAAGTTTAAAAAAATGAAACATACAGTTCTCACATACAGTTTTCTTTCCCACCTGCAGGCAGCACATGGCCTCAAAGACCTTGGGTGCAATATCTTGTCACCAGACTTTTCTAGGTCCTTTCCATCTCCCATCGGACGAGCTGGTCGAACCTACTGTGGTCTGCTCACAGGTACCTGGGATGGCTTTTCCCTTGCTGTTCTTTGTTTCCTAAAATGCTCAACACGTCTTGCTCTGGTTCTTCTTCAGTCACTCTGGTCAAAAGAACTGGTCCCCTGTTCGAGTAGCAATAATACATCTTGGCCCCACAAATTCCCAAGAATGTAACTCCTAAATTCCACTTTTTTTCTTTTCTTTTTTCCTTTCTTTCTCTCTCTTTTTTGCAAGAAATTATTGTGTCTCTCTCTCTATATCATATATAGTTCAATCTTTACAGTACAAAGTGTTAAAATGTCAAACAAAAATAAATATCAATGTTACAGTAGCTAGAATATTCAATAAAATAGATCCCTGCCATTCTTGATTGAAATGTTCAGTGAGACTTAATCTCATTTGGATATTTTTTCCAGAGATTTGCGAAGCCTCATGTTCCTGTTATTGCAGCTCATTTCTAGGGATAAGAAAGACGGGGCAGTTCCCTTCCCAGACCAGAAGAGCAGGGAGGGAGCGGGAGGCATCGGGGGTGGGGCGGGTCTGGATGCCAGCGCTGTCAGGACATCTTCAGGGCCGGACCTCTCCCTACCACGTAGCAGAGCTGTAGTGCTTGCTGGTCCTCACTGTGGCGTCAGAACACTCCCCATCTGAAGAGTCGCAGTCCGATTCTTCAAACTGCATAGGATTCTGCGAAGTCAAGACATAATAAAACTGTAATTCATTTCTGCAGTTGCTCAGCAAACACGTATATGGAACACCTCCCACATGACAGGCACTGGGCTGGCGTGGTGGGGAAGGGGACTACAAAGACAGAAGAGACCAAGTCCTGTCCTCGTGGGGCTTACAAAGAAAAAAGATCTAAAGGTGGTGATCGTGATGATGACAATGATGAGGACAGTTACAGCAGTGCTGCCACAGCCCCATCATATCGAGTTTACTCTGCTCCAGACGGTGCTGTAAGTGCTTGACCTCTATTAATCCACTTACTCCTGACAACATCCCTGTGACGCAGAGGCTGTTATCATGCCCAGTTTACAGCTGAGAAAACTGACCTGTGGAGAAGTTTAGTGGCTGGCCCGATATCACACAGTAGTAAGTGGAAAGGCTGGGGTTTGCATCTAGGCAGTCAGATTCCTGGGTACACAATTTCAACCACAGTGTTATCCTGCCTCTCAAAAGGCAGTACTGGATACGACCTGAAGTGTTGCATGTGCTCTGACAGCATCAGCAGGGACAGTGGGGACGTGGAAGAGGGAGGCTCATACCCTTAACCCGAGTGGGAGGTGGGGCCGGGAGGAGGTGATGTTTGAGTTAAATCTTGGAAAGATGGGTTCCTGAGTAGTTCAACGTTGGGGCCTCCTTTGGGAGAACTGTGCTCATTCTGGGGAGCTCCGCTGGTCTGCGTGCTTTCACTCACTTCATGGGGGCAGCTGTATGTCATGGACTAAATGACGTTTGTAAAGGGCCTCGGGACTGGAGCATGTTGTAACTCAAAAGAGCAGCAGGAAGGGAACCGTGATGAGAGGGGAAGGGAGGAGAGGCCCCACCTCATAGCCACGCTCCTCCACACACAGCTTGCCCAGAGACATCTGCGTCTTCACGCGGCGCACGGCACACTCCTTGTCGGAGAGCCCATCTGAGTGCGAGGATATCTCAATGGGAATCTCTGGCGTCTGGGACAGCAGGTCATCTAGCTTCTCTGCCAGGCGGTCTTCAAGTTTATCAGCTAACTCATCAGGACTGTTTGAGTGGTCACTGGTGTTTCCTTCCTCTCCATCAGACACTGAGAAATTCTCAGAGCTAAAGGTTGAATATGACTGGCAGCTTCTGATACAGCGATGCGGCCTGGAACCACAAAGAACCAGAGGAACTCACTCACCAGAACAGCTCCTTGCCTTGCCTTGACTGTCAATCTTAGCCCTGGTGGGAGGTCACCTAATTTTTTCCTTGCCCTTCAGGGAGATTCAAATTCAGATAGGTTGAAACTATTTCATTTTAAAGCAACCGAGAGGGAAATTAGTGTGTTTATGTGGCTAAATGCCAAAGCTGACGGCTACCACAGGCCTTGAAAAAAGTCAGCCTTTCTAATCATACTGTGTATACCTGTGCATGGTATGGAAATGTTTAAATTGAAATTATGCTTCTTATTCACAGAATCCCAGATACCCACAGGTGAAAGAGACTTTGGAGATTTTCCAGTCTAACTCTTCCCCAGATCAGAAAACTAGAGCCAGAGAAGGGAAGTGACTTGTTCAAGGCCACACCGTCAGCAAAGGCAGAGCTGCAGGTTGGGTGGGTTAGTTCACACCCACTCAGTGTCTTTCTCTACCTCACTCCACCTCAGCTGCACTGCCCACTGGACATGGCAGCTCTGGAAAGACGGCCTTCACCACCCTGTCAACCCCTCCCCAAGAGAAATGAGCTTGGAAGGGACGTTCACTCTGCAGCTGTGGGCAATACTCAGCCCATCAGTGGCTCATTGCAGTCAACGTCTAGGTTTTGCTCTGACAAAAAAGTTTGGGGATGGGGGAAGAATTTGCGAAAGTTCCTTATGCTTATACTGGTTTAAAAACAAAACATAACAAATAATAAAAGAAGACTGCCTTTTCTCTCTGGCATTGTCTGATCTCTCTGTATTTCTTAGTACAAAGTGATTTCAATGGCACATGATCTGAGCCGGGTTGATGACTGGCCAGGTGGTGGGCTGGAGGAGGGGGGTCAAGGTCACATGAGTCAATGTGGGAACAAGAAGTGCAGGTAAGACTCACACAACTCCTCAAGGCTGGTAATCCAGAAGGGAGACGGTGGTGGGGGGGGATGTTATAATCTAAAAAGCAGAAACTATGTGGTAAAAAACGTACATATAGTATAATTTGCATCCCAGCCAATAAAGAAAGGTGGGAAGCCAGTAGGTGGGCCGAGTTCACCGTGTGTCATAGGAACAAAAGCAGGAAGTAACATCATTGTGATGCCAGTAGAACGAGTTCATTTCACTCAGGCTCAGTCTGGACACACAGGAGAAAACAGTGTCCGAGGAGACAATGAGACAGCAAGGGCTTCATGGCAGGAGTGGCTCAGGAGATGCGAAGATTTCGATTTTGTGCATTGCATGGGGACCCAAAGTACAGTTTACCAGGGGACTAGGAGTCCCTTGGTTTTCAGGGATTTCCTGTTTCTGGGCAGGTATACAAACCCTGCTACAGCTCTACTCTTAAAGAACGAAATGCTTATTAGCAGAGAAGGCCTCTTGGTAGGAAAACTACCTTCCCTACTCCTACGTAGGATTAGCTCTTTAATCCTACAAGAAAATTATTACTGCAGATGAAGCAGGAAGCTCCTTCTAAGGCTAGCTGAAGGGGGACTCGACTCATCTAACTATAATTAATTTGAGGTATAAAGTCCAAGGCATGGAGAGTGCCAGGGACTGACCTGGGTACCCCCACACCAATTCATGTTGAAACCCTAAGCTCCAATGTGACTAAATCTGGAGCCAGGGTCTTTAGGAGGTAATTAAGGTTGAGATCACATAGGTGGGGCCCTAGTCCTATAGGACCTGGCCTTGTAAAAAGAAGAGGGACAAGACAAGAAGATGGAGGCATAGACAGACATGTCTCACCTGTTCGCATAACCACATTAAAATTAGAACTAAAATATAGAACAACCATGACTCAGGACCATCACAAATCAAGCTGAATGGAAATCTAACAACTGTGGAGTTAAAGAAACACATCCAGCCAGACTGATAGGAAGGGCACAGACACAGAACAGGCTCGTCATATACACATGTGGATTAAAAACTTGGGAAGGTTATCTCAGGAGCAAGGAATGCCAGCTCCATACCAGGCCCTCCAACCCAGGGTTCCAGTGCCAGAAAGATAAGTCCCCATAACTTCTGGCTGCAAAAGCCAGCAGGGATTGAGTTGGTGGAAGGAACTGCTAAAGCCCCAAGTAGTTCCTCTGAAAGAGCCCACACACAGACTGACCTACTCAGACTCACTCCCTCTGAGATCTAGCACTGGGGTAGCACCTTGAAAGGCACCAGTGGTACACAGGGAGAAACTGGTGTCTGGCATCAAGGTGAGCAAAAGCCACTGTCCCTTTGCTAAACCCTCCCTGCACAGAGCTGGTGAGATGGTGCCATATCTGAGACTCCATCAACCTGGACGACACTGTGTGACCCACCTTGGAGATCCCCAGAGGCTCTAACCCAACTTATTATCCCACACAAGCTGCTTTTCCAGAAGAATGGCTGGTTTTGGCTCCTAAATCCTATCAAACAGGCAACAGCTGGTTTTGGTGAGTCCTAGCAGCAGCCAGATAGATTCACGGCTTGGACTTGCTTGGGAATCTCCAAGCCCAGCACAAGTAGCAGCCATCTCAGATTGCTTTAAGCTTAGGCATGGTGCCCCAGGCAAAACAAAGGTGGGGGTTGACTTTGGCCTCCAACGACCAGGAAATTTCAGGGCCAGCACACTCAGAGGGCAGCTGTAGACCATGTCAGAGCACACCACCCTGCCCCTGCACAGCTGATCCTCCATGAAGGGGAGAGGTTAGAGGTAAGTGGTCACGACCAGTCCTTGCAGCTGACTGGCCTGGGTAAATCCCTCCCACTGACCTGCCAACAGCAACCAAGGCTCAACTACAAAAGGAAGGTGTACTCAGAACACATAAAGGGCATAACTCGAGAGTAACCAGCTTGGGTGATACAGGAGGCTGTGCTGCTGGACCCTATAGGACACGCCTATTACATTAGGCCACACTACCAAGACAGGGAGTCATAGCAGCTGTACCTAATACATAGAAACAAACACAGGGAGGTTGTCAAAATGAGGAGACAAAGAAACATGGCCCAAATGAAAGAACAGATCAAAACTCCAGAAAAAGAGCTAAAGGAAATGGAGATAAGCAATCTCTCAGATGAAGAGTTCAAACACTGGTTATAGGAATGCTCAAGGAACTTAGTGAGGACCTCAGCAGCATAAAAAAGACCCTGTCAGAAAGGAAGGATACACTAATTGAAATAAAGAACATTTACAGGACTTCCGCCAAGATGGAGGCATAGGTAGAGATGCCCTGCTTCCTCACACAACCAAGTTTAGAGACAACTAAATAGCAACAGAAAACACAGCCAGAATACAGAAAATTGAACTTTTCGGAAGTCCGATAACAACAAATTCTTCAGCCTGACCGGTAAAAGGGGCGAAACCAGCAGCTAGCACAGCGGGGTAGCACAGGAAAACTCGGTCAGACGGACTCAGGCGCGCAGAATCCAGGCGCAGGGTTGGACCTGGTGGGCAACTCAGCGAGCAACCGCGGGGAAACAGCGAGGGAGCAGGGCTGCGGCTTGACTGTGGTCGCGCATTCGTGTGTGGATAGACAAGCGAGGGAGTGGGCGATTGGACGAGAGCCAGCAGCCCCAGCAGTAAGAGGCGGCAGAGGGCACCGCCATTTCCCTGCTCTGACCCCGCCTCCACATACAGCGTCATAATCCAGCGACCTAAGTGGCCCTGCCCCGGTGAACAACCTAAGGCTCTGCTCTTCACCCAGCAGTGAGAAACAGCAGAGGGGGCTGCCATTTCCCCGCTCGGACCACGACTCCACATTTAGCGTCACAACCCAGCGACCTGGGAGTCCAAGGTTCCGCTCCTCACACTTAAAGGGCACAAACAGACCAAAAATGGCTCAAGAAGATATCAAAGCCCCAGAGCCTATAAATCTAAGTGATGAAGAAATAGCAAAACTCTCAGACGCACAGTTTAAAACACTGGTGATCAGGATCCTCACAGAACTGGTTGATTATAGCCACAAATTAGACAAACATATGAAGGCAAAACTAATTGAAATGAATGGAATTGCACAGGAAACCAATAGCGATGAAAAGGAAACTGGGACTCAAATCAATGGAGTGGACCAGAAGAAACCAAATAATGGCCAAACAGAAAAGAGTCAAGAAGCAAGAATTCAAAGAAATGAGGAGAGTCTTAGGAACCTCCAGGACATCTTTAAACACTCCAACATCCAAATTATAGGGGTACCAGAAGGGGGAAAGGCACAGCCACCAGTGGAAAACTTATTTGAACAAATAATAAAGGAGAATTTCCCCAATCTGGCAAAGGAAATAGACTTCCAGGAAATCCAGGAAGCTCAGAGAGTCCCAAAGAAGGTGAATCCAAGAAGAAACACACCAAGGCACATCATCATTACAATAGCCAAGATTAAAATGAAGGAGAGAATCCTAGAAGCAGCAAGAGCTAAGGGGACAGTCACCTACAAAGGAGTCCCCATCAGGCTGTCAGCGGATTTCTCAAAAGAGACCTTACAGGCAAGAAGGGGCTGGAAAGAGGTATTCCAAGTCATGAAATCCAAAGACCTACAACCAAGATTGCTCTATCCAGCAAAACTTTCATTTAGAATGGAAGGACAGATAATAAGGTGCTTCTCAGATAAGATCAAATTCAAGGAGTTCATCATCACCAAGCCCTTATTATATGAAATGTTAAAGGGACTTATCTAAGAAAAAGAAGGTAAAAAAAACATGAACAGTGAAAGGACAACAAACTCATAGTTATTAACAACCACACCTAAAACAAAAGCAAACTAAAAGGACAGCTAGATCAGGAGTGGAAACATAAAAATGAAGATCTCAAGGAGGGTTAGCAACAGGGGAGTGGGAGGAGGAGAAGGGGGGAGAAAGTACAGAAAATAAGTAGCATAGACAGTAGATAGAAAATAGATGGGGGGGCAAGAATAGTATGGGAAATATAGAATCTAAAGAACTTGAGACACATGGTCATAAACTAAAGGGGGGAATAGTGGGGGTGGGGGTGCAGGGTGGAGGGGAATGAAGGGGGGAATAGAACAACTGTAACAGCATATTCAATAAAAAAATAAATTTAAAATAAAAAAAAACATTTACAGGGAAACAACAGTAGAGTGGATGAAGCTGAGAATCAAATTAATGATTTTGAACCTAAGAAAGCAAAAAACAGATAATCAGAATAACAAGAAGAAAAAAGAATTCCCCAAATTGAGAACAGTATAAACAGCCCTGGGACAGCTTCAAGAGGTCCAACATTTGCTTCATAGGGGTGCCAGAAGGAGAAGAGAAAGAGCAAGAAATTGAAAGTCTATCTGAAAAAATAGTGAAAGAAAACTTCTGTAATTTGGCAAAAGAAATAGACATGCAAGTCCGGAAACACAGAGTCCCAACTAGACAGATGCAAAGAGGGCCATTCCAAGACACACCATAATTAAAAGACCAAAGGTTAAAGATAAAGAGAGACTCTTAAAAGCAGCAAGAAAAGTTAGTTACCAGATGGTTGACAGATGCAGAGGGTGTGGGGAGAATGGGAAGAGGTGAGGGGATTAAGAAGTACAAATTGGTAGTTACAGAATAGCCATAGGGATGTAAAGTTCAGTGTGGGAAATGGAGTAGCCAAAGAACTTATACTGATGACCCATGGACATGAACAAGGTGTGGGAATTGCCTGAGGGAGTTGGGGGCACTGGGAGTAGGGGGGCAAAAGGAGAAAAAATCAGGACAACTGTAATAGCACGATCAATAAAACATAATTAAAAAAAGAAGATATCTCTTTGTTTCCTCCTTACCCCTCCCCACCCCCCAAACATGTGAGGACACATTAAGAAGACTGTTGTCCGCAAGCCAGGAAGAGAGTTCTCACCAAGAACCTTGATCTTAGACTTCCCAGCCTCCAGAACTGTGAGAAATAAATTTGTATTGTTTAAGCCACCTAGTCTATGGTATTTTGTTATGGCAGCCTGAGCAAATTAATTCAGAGAGGCACACTAGAAAACCAATAAAATTATTCATAAAACACATGGCCCTCCCTCATAAACTGTCCACTGTATTCTCAGTTGTAAACATGAATCTGTATTTATCTTCATCTTGAAATTCCCATGGAGTGAATTCTGATAAGCTGGGCCTGGCTGTGCACAGCAGCAAGGGAAACCATAAACACAGTGAGTTCAAGTTTCTTTACAAGGTGGCTGTTAGAAAGTGACGTGCAATTTAACAGGAAGTACAGCAAACTGGGTTTCCCCGATCACACTGAAAGCAATCACGTGTGTTTGATGGTTTTACCTCTGTCTTCGTGGAAATTCAACTTCACTGTCCACTTCCCCTTCTTCCTCTTCTGAGGACTCATCTCCACTCTAAGGAAAACAGGAGAAAAGAGCTTCATTTCTCTCTCTCTCTCACACACATACACATGATCCTTGCAAAGATGTAATCTTTGCAAAGATGCCTTTCGATAAAGGCATTGAGTAGCGGCTTGCTGAGTGTCATCTTTAAACATATGCATCTTCACTTGTTCTTTAGCAACTTTTCCTGGGTGTCCATGATGACAGGCCTTGCACTAGATGCTGGAAGACATATAGAACTGAAATAAACATGATCTTCGCCCTCAGGGAGGTGAGTGATAGGGAGGGGAAGTGGGAGAAGAGGTCCTGGACACTGGGGCAGTCTCAGGTAACCATTGTCACTAATGGTTCCAGGCTTTGTCATAGAAACTCCAACAAGAACTGATCTTTCAATTGTTCAAAGCTCTTTTATGTACCAATCACTTTTTCACTGATACAGTTACTACATTCGTACCATCTCCACTACTAAGACATATGTCATTTGAGCATCAGCCTGTCTCGTGCTGTATTGCATGCTTCACTCCGCCATTAATACGACGCTACATACAAAGTGGGTGTTTAGTGCATTACTGAGTCAGCAGGTTGGCAGGGTAGGGACAGCTGAGGCCTTGTGATTGTCGGGGCTCTGTGGTTGGTCTGGAAGGCTGGGTAAGTGTCTTGGCTGAGCAGATGATCTTCCTTCACAGGGAAGATTCTGTTTTTCTTCAAGTGCCTGGGAACAGCCACATTGGGACCCACGGTCCTTAACCACAGTGCCACGATGCACTGGGTTGCTACAATCCCTTGTGAGGTGGGTGATTGGGTCCAAGTAACTGTAGCAAAGACTGAGGATAATTTACTTTGAAAGTCAGTTCTAAAATACCTTCACTCTTACCCACTTTGTATCCTGACATGCTTTCTTGGTAGGGAAGTCAGGGATGGAGACAGCCTGACTGCCCAGATGAGCCCCTCCCCCCAGAAGTACGCATGGGAGTACAGGTCAGTGGAGAGAAGGTGGCCTGCTCTCCGGGAGGATGGTTCCAATGAGACCAAATGTGGAAGGTGTGTGCTCCGTGGCCTGCAGACCCATCAAAAATGGAATTAGAATGGTTCAAGGATACATGTTACTTGGGAGGGGACCAGGGAATGGGCGATTGCTAAAGGGTGCAGGGTTCCTTTTTGGGCTGACAAAAATCCTCTAAAATTAGTTGTGGTAAAGGTTGTACAAGTCTGAATAAAAAGAACTGAGTTGTATAATTTAATGGGAGAACTGTTTGGTATGTGAATTATATCTCAATGATGTCGTTACCAAAAAAATCCATGTTACCTGTCACATGGGTGGGGGCACAGAGACTGGATGAGCTCAAACCCACTGCATCCCCCGAAACATGACCCAATTTCCAGGACACTCGGTCAGCAGCAACACTTTATGTGGCAGAGGAAATACATTTCCGAGACAGTAGCCCTCAGCGTCAATGTCTTTTCTGTTCAACGTCTAGTTGACCAAAACATCCTCAATCACATTTTAAATGCTTTCATTCCTTTAAATAAACGCCTGCTGGATAATGATGATGACATGAAGCAATACTTAGAATTGAGTGGATATCTACCATGTGCTAAATACTTTTCATGCACAATCTTATTTTTAACTCATTAGCAAGATGAGCTTGTGTTTTTTAGAAGTTTGCTACGCACCAGGCCCTGTTCTTTGTGTGTATTAACTCATTTAATCCTCACATCGACCAGTGAGGCAGGGCCCACTCTTAGTAGCCCCATTTTAGAGACAAGGACAGCAACATTTATAGAAGTGCTAAGTGGAAAAGCCTTTGAACTAAGCTTTGAGCTCAGGTCTGTCTGACTCCCAAGCTGGTGCCCGTAACCATGGTGGTTGACTGCCCTGCAGCTAGGAGGCCCCGGGCAGCCAGTGAGCAAGCAGGTGAGGAACAGGTTTCACTGACTGAGAACTTCCTAGCTCCTGAGGGTTATTAATTAAGACAATGTTTTCCAAAATACATTGTGAAGAAAGTTAGTTCCATGGGAGATGGATGGATATCTTTAAAAGGCAGTACAGTTGAATAGGTGAGGGAATTGCTGGGTTAAACAAGGTTACCACATGATTCCTCAAAGTCTAGCATTTGTTAGTGTACATGAGGAACCTCCCAGAAGGGAGAGAGAATATTGTGTTCACCAAACCTGTTTTACAGAGGGATCCTTTCTTCTTGCAACATCCCTCAGGACTAGGTCAGAGCAGTGGTTTTCAAACTATTTTGATTGCATATTCCTAACTTGTGGTTATTTATCTACTTACAAATTATGTACATGTCAGTCAGTCCATTGGTTTGGTAGTTCTCCAAGTGTATTCATAGGTCCATCACTTAAGCAGCGTGAAAAGAAAGTATTTGAAATAAAAAGCGTCTGTATGTTTGCCAGAGCGCATCACACAATGGGCACCCACGAAGGCAGAGGTGCACACCGCTGCCATTACCGCCTACCTTTTGAAGGGGCCTTGCTTTTCGAGGTAGCACTGGCGGGGTGACATGATGGGGGACAGCAAGGGATGAAGCAGACCTGCAGCCATTGAACTCATTTTCTTCTATTTTCTCAGAACCTTGGGCATTTTCTGAGAGGAGACTGTGTGCTGGTGACTTGAAAGGGTCGGGGCTCCTCCCAGCTGGCTCAGCAAAGGGAGCGTCCGAGGACCCACACTGTTCTGGCCTGCACTGTGCGCAGGGGTCGTAAGGGTCAGCCTGACAACAGCCCCAGGGGCCGGCCTGGCCCTTGTCTGGCTCAGAGCTTCTCCAGCAATCTGCTGCCATGGCGGTGGAGATGAGGTCAGGGCTAGAGCCGGGCATCTGTCTTTGAGCATGGTTGCTGAGGGGGCTCCGCAGGGCTGCCGCGGGGCCAAAATACCTCAGGTTGTTGGCGCAGGTTGCAATGTCCTGTCCGTGCGTATTGAGCCTGGGGTGGTGGCTCTGAGACGTGGCAGGAGGGGGGTGCTGGTATTGCTGCTGCAGAGCAGGGAGTTGGGATTGAGCTTGGTGTAGATGAGTGGGGTGGGGTGAGTTTTCCTGGGCTGGCTGGTTTTTCAAGATGGCTGCAAAGTCATTATGGCTGCCTCTGCTATTCCCTCGGCGGTGGCGTGGTTTGCTCCGGTATCGGCTCTTGCTGCTTGAGGTGGACGTTTTGGGGCTTCCAGACAGAGGGGATGCAGTGGGGGCCGCCTCCATGCTGGGGATACCTTCGGATCTCAACAGATCTGGCCTGGGTGAACAGACGGGTTAAGTTTTAAACATACAAAAACATATTAAAGTTTGGGGAACTATATCACAAGCCTTAAAATACACACACCATTTCAGTCTGTGGTCACATACAGGGATTTAGTCAATAGAGATAATGGATGTCCACAAAAATCTATGTTTGAAGACATCGTGATGCTTAAAATAGCAGGAATTTAAACAACCTAGAAGTCCACTGATAGAAGATTCCCTTTATGACCTGGATTTTATTCTGTGCCTCATTGGCCAAGGTACCGAATCCCCTCAAAATTCTAATTCTGCCCTACAGGTTTCTCGATCTCTTCCTCATAGTATCAGCTCTCAGCTTGGTGCCAGTAAGCCAGCAAGGTCAGAAGTCTGTCTGATGACGGAACCAGATTCAAGGCATCACAAAGGAAAGAGTTGGGGGTGGACAACATCTTGCTGAGGGCTGCGACTATGTCACATTCACATACCCCTTGTATGTGAAGGAAACTAATGGGGAGTCTTGATCATGATGGGACTCAGTGTTTCAGGGACAGGGAGACATGGGGGTGGGGCCAGAGGACAGGAAAATAGGAGAGAGTCCAGGTGGGGAGCAGAGCCAGCAAGAGAAGGTCTCAGGAGGTGTGACCCCTGCATTGTCCTGTGCTCCTAAATCACAGGTGGCAGACACAAGGCCCACAGGCTGAATCCACCCCTCCACCTTGTTTTATTTGGGCTGACCCCTTGTTTCTACCCAGTGGTAGCACCGAGCTCTCGCTTAACTGGGCTCGCTTAAGGAGTCGTTACATTTATACAGTCCTGACATTACATTCAGCCCTTGGAAGGCAACCACAAGACTGATGTGGCCCCTGGTGAAAATGAGTTTGACACCCCTGCTGTATGCAGTATACAAACCACTTGTTTCCCACTACACAATATCCATTTTACAGAGAAAGGTGTCAAAGGATCAGAGAGGTTGGTTGTCTTGTGTTCACCACAAAGCAAGTAAAGGGCAGAACTCATAAACTGACTCTGAGTCTTAAGACACCAAGGAATAGTTCTTTCCCCATTCCAAGCTTCTCTTATGAGGCATTTAGAGCATCTCTCTGGCCTACACTCAGCTGTGATGTGTTTGGCAGCCTGTAATTGAACTCCGACTCTCTTCTTTCCAGGGCTTAACCAAACACGCACTGCAGGGTAGGCGGGGATGGCGGATGGCTTCTCTTCTCTGATCTCCCCAGAGGGCACTGGACTTCTGATGGAGGGGCATTTTTTCCCTTTACATTAATTTAACTAGGAGAGAGTCAACTGTCCATTATTGGAGAGGAACGAGGCTCTAGCAGAACTTGGTAATGATTGGAAGAGCATTTAAGGTTAAACTAGTATAGTGTTTCAGATCTGTGGTGGAGAATCCGAGTTTGCAGTGGGCTAAATTAGGTTACATGTGGATTTCCCACTGAGCAGGTGGTCCGCACCCCTAATCTCCATGTTGTTCAAGGGGCAATTACATAAGGAAAATGTGTTATAATAAAAAAAGACTATTAAAACCCCCCACTTCTTGAGCATTTATTAAGTGATTTCACATACTGTCTTCTTTCAACCTCACACGAGGCCCATGCAAGAGTGGGATGAGGGGACCTGTGTATATAGGTCACTGTCAAAGTCCCGGCTTTGGTGCTGGCTTCGGCAGCACATACGCTAAAATTGGAACAGCGCAGAGATGAGCACGGCTCCTGCGCAAGGATGACATGCAACTTTGTCAAGCAGAAAAGAAACCAAAAAAAACAAACAAAAAACCTCTACAGTCTCTGCTTTCATTTTCGGTGGTAGATTTATAGGCACATTATTAAGAAGAACTAAATGAATAAATAAAAGTGGGTCATGCACGGACCAATGTTGCATAAATCAAGAATTATAATTAACCCAATTCTGTGCTTTAGGGGTTAAACAAGGAAAAAGGAATCTCGTGTGCTATACTTATACCATTTTACTCATGGGGTGGAAAGAGGGCAAGTGACAGGACCCAAATCACACAGCTCATCGCTGGCAGAGCCAGGACTTAAACCCAGGTCTGCTAGCTCCCAGTTTATTTCTTTTCTCAGTATTCCATGCTAAGGTACTAACTGTCTATGCCTTAGATGGTAAAACAGGGATTCCTAGGGTCAATGACACACTTTCTCTCACCTTCCCACTCTGTTTTACCCAGAGCCACGTGTTCTCATGGCCAGGTAGAGAGGCCACACCCACTGTCATCTGATTGCGTATTTTCAGGGGGAGTTTTTCCCATTTATGGGAGTATCGGGTCAGCACAAGCATCTCACCGTTTGGTCTGCATCCCTGGTTTGTGAGGGACGCCTTTCCTTTTCATGAGCTTCTCCATGGCATTGGGGTGGATTATTGGACGGACAGGGTGCCGTTTGTAGGTCCCAGGATACTTCTTTTCCACTGCTTGCTCACGTCTGCAGAGCGAGAGGAACAGGCCCTCTCAGCCACCACATTCAGAAAAGACGGGCAGACTGTTTCACAGGCTGATTCCACCCACAGACTCTGGCCACACTTACCAGATGCTGGCTATTTGAATAACAAGGCTGCCATCCAGGTTAAAAGGGGGGAAAAAGATACTAAATTCAAACTAACCTGACTGCATTTTCCCCTGAAGCTCACAGATGCACTCAGAAACTGACTCCCTTTCCCCAACACACCACATGAGCTGCAGGATACAGCGGTGGGAGTCCTACTTATTTCGGTAGCTGCTGTTTTGGCCAAGTCCCTGCAATTTTCTTGCCATTCTCAGGAATACCTTAAACCACTAGCAGAAGCCACCTCACTTCCCCAGGGGGAATTGGCCCCCACACATCTACATCAAGCTGTTCATGAAATGAGGACCCCTTCTCTGAGCCATTCAGCAGGGTGAAGCTGCAAATATCTTTCAAGTGATGTTTGCCTAGAACCAGCTCTGTGGCAACTCCTCCCCAGGGGCAGGGATGTGTACGGAGCACATCCCCGGAGGCAGGTTGGGTGAATGAATAAAACATCTGCCAGTTCTGAGCAGCAGCCACATGGAAGGGTAGCACATTTCTGCTGACGGGGAAACTAAATCAATCCGGGGAGATGGTGGTCTGGATACACACTTGATGAGCTCCTTCTCCCGCATTTCCAGCTGCAGCATGATGGCGCTCAGCTCCATGTATAAATTATTAGCTCGCTCTAGTTTTCTCTCATAGTGTTCTCGAATATCCAAAGCATGCCTGGCAAAGAAAACACAGGATCAGTGAAATCGACTGAAGTCAGCAGCTCTAAGCAAATGAGAACCGGGATGGCTTATCTCAAAAGCATTTGCCCAAGGGCCCTCTAGGTGAAAGGCTCTCTTGTCTGATGCAAGGACTAAGCCCAGCTGGAGTGGGAGATGGAAACTTTAAGCTTTTCATCTGGTTTATCCTACAAGGCCATATCCAGCCATACAGAATAGCCAGGAGGGACACAGATAAAATGTGACTACAAATTGAGTATAATTTGTAGCCTTTGCGTGGTGTTGGCAATGCCTTAAGAACACAGGATAACTCACTGTTAATGGAAATATGTGGTTAGAGCTGATGCCACGATCACTCCGTTATCCTTATGCACGGCACAGGTCCTGCGTGATTATAGGGCTTATCTATGGACACGTCTGTATCCTTTAAGAGATTGAAAGCATCTTGAGACCGGGGACTACATCCTATCAATTTCTGGCCATCTGTGTCACCTTGGACAGGGGCCAAATGAACAAACAGCATTGCTCTGGAAATCTCTGTTGCAGAGATATAATAAAGGGGGATAACAGAGTTGGGGGGACAGGGTAAGACAGTAATAAAAAAGAGGGCTAAATTTCAGGGTAAATTTTAAAGAGAATAACAATGAATGGCACAGTGAAAAGGGGTGTGGGAAGTGAGACGGTGATTCACAAAAACAGCTCCTGCTAATATCTGAGGACCTGGGCATGAAGAGAGGTGGAGGAGAGATCAGCTGACCTGAGCTCTTCTCTGCGCCTTCTAATCAGTTCTTCATCTAATCGGTGTATGCAAGTTCCTTCACTTTTGATCTTCTCAAAGTGTTTCTTTACTTCTTCTCTCCATTCAGCCTGGGTGAGCATAAATCAGACTTTATTAATATTCTAGGAGTTTCAATCCCTGGTACAGCCACAGGATCATGTACGAGATATTTTTTCTTCTGCATGCTTCTCCTGAAGAAATTTCTAGAATAGATGTTCAGTTAATATTACTCGATAGCAAAATATCTAACGAAGATGTATCTGCACACCCCCACCCCACCCCATTTCTGTATTTGGCCCAACCTGGGATGCTGCCTCTTTTCCAGTTTCCTTGCAGTACAGGCTACCAGAAACATCACGGCAGCACCCCAGCTGCCACCTCTGGAAGTCAGGCTGCTGTCTGAGAATGCCTGGCCGGAAAGAACGGCTCTGATACCCATCGGGTGCAAGTATGTGCCGGCAAGAATATCTTAACAACTGATTCCTCTTAGGTTTTGTATACGAAAATATCTTGAAGAAATATTTGGAGTAGAAGACCCCACGGGGTATGTACAGCAGGTGATGGAAACAAAAATACAGGAAATTATTCAGAGATTTGGGAATGAGGGAATGAACACAAAAAGAGAAGGAAGAGGAAGAAAAATAGTGTGGCTGAATAATTTAGAGGCTGACAAAATTCTTGGGACAGAAAAGATGTCTAATATGTGATTTAAGTCGTTCAAAGTGTAAGGCTCTTCCGATTTCCTAAAGCTTTAGTTAAGTCTTCTGACATTCACTTTGAGTTTAGATGAGTGTCCTTGCTTTCTTAGAAATCAAGGAAAGGTGTCGAACTGCATGTCTGGGTCAATGACAGGACATCAGTAAAGGGACAACCACAGCACAGCAGGGACAGGGGCCAAGAATTTGAGGAAGGCAGAGCCGGAGTGGCCCTGAGATTCGAAATCTGTAGGATTCACAGGAGTGTTAGGACACTGGACTTTCCACAGGGCATGGAATTTCAAGAAGAATTTTATCTAAATTTTAGGGGGCAGGAAAACCTCTGCTGGAAGGTAGTCAATATAGGTAGTTGCTAGAAAAAAGCTAAAGGATATGTTTCCTCAAATTATGTACAGACTACCACCCCAGGGAGCTAATGAGATTAATACAATTTCCAGCGAAGGCTAGATCTGTCATTAAACGTTTCTGATTGTATAATCTTTCTCTGAGCTATTCTATTACATTTAGATTCCTGTTGAAAATGATCTCTCTAGATCATGGAAGCAGTTACTTTTAGGTAATTGTGAAATTACAGAAGGTTTCTCTCCAAATTTGCCATTTATAATTTATTTTATTTTTTAAAGTTTTATTTATTTGCTTTTAGAGAGTAGGGAAGGAAGGGAGAAAGAAAGGGAGAGAAACATCAATGTGTCTCTCTCACATCCCCAACTGGGGACCTGGCCTGCAAACCAGGCATGTGCTCTGACTGGGAATAGAACTGGGCACCTTTTGATTTGTGGGTGTGCACTCAGTTCACCGAGCCACACAGCCAGGGCCATTTCTCATTTATTTCTGTAGGGGAAATTACAATTATTTAGAAAGTGATTATCCTGCTTACCCATTTTCACATATATATATATCCCTTGACTGACCATTGGAGAAACATTCTGTCCTCAGCTGACTTCCGGGCACCAACCCTGCCACACAGTGGCGTCAGAAGGCAGAGATCTGGGATGTGGTGCCCATTGTTGAGTCCCTGACAGGGTCTGAGCCTTTGAGCCCCAGGTAATCAATGCTGTTCTTTCAATCGTTAGATCAAAGTCATGAAGGAGTAAGAGTACTGAGCTTCAAGAAGTCAAAGACTGACACTCGAGAGTTGTTAGACCAAAAAAAAAGATAAGGGGGAAGGTCAAATTTGGGTCTTAAAGTGTCCTCTTTTGCACAAACTTTGGATTTCAGGGCAATATTTAAAGGAATCAGGAAAAGGAATACCTCCCTCTGGTGGTGAGAAATCAAATATCATGTTTTTTTTGTTTTTTTTTTAAATTCTGGAGGAAATAAACCTCCTAATATTTAGCTTACAGGTTTGGGAAACTCAGAGAGAGCCTTCTGATGATCGAAACCTATTAAAAAAATAAATTTCTAAAAAGAAGTTCCCTCCTGTGAAGAGGGAACAGGATGTGTGGGAAAACAGCAGGTACTGATTAATAATGTTTTCCCTAAAGGTATCGTGTTACTGGTAGATGTTAATTTTGGAGTTCCATCACATATACTTAGACTCTTTATGTAATAGGAGTCCCAACTGGCACTTAATCTGCAATTCAGACATGTGTGGGCATATCTGAAGCCAATTTGCTCAGAGACTGAAGAGTCTCTGGGAGAACACAGTCACACAGGAAGGAGGAGTCCTGCATGAACTTGACCATCATTGGAAAGGAGGGGCGTTTTCCTTTGTTTCACTAAAATGCCTGGAACACAGGGGGGTCAAACTCCTTTTCACGGGGGCTACATCAGCCTCACGGTCGTTGTCAAAGGGCCGAATGTAATCTTAGGACTGTAAAAGTGTAACTAACTACTCCCTAACAGTTAAGTGAGAGCTTGGCACTGCCACTGGTGGAAACAAGGTGCCGGGCCAGATAAAACGAGGTGGGGGCCACATTTGGCCCTTGGGCCTTGTTTGCCACACGAGCTGTAATGCGTTGCTATAAGCAGCACTGCTGTGTTAAACTAACGAAGTGTAACTCAAAGGGAAAAGGAAGAATTCATCGTGCAGACAACAATGTGCAGCTTTGGAATCTCGTGAAGTCCAGAGCTTCAGTTACAGCAGGAAATGACGGCTCCCAGTGGGTGTCTTCAGGACAGGCAGCACCCAGTGGATGACAGCTGGGGACTGCAGGCTTTTAGAAGAAGACAGTGCCATTCAATAAAGTAACACCCAGCAGATGCCAGACGGGGGACTGCTGTGTCTAGCCAGTTAGTGGAAAGCAGAGCAGATATTAATTTGAGGCTATTTGAGACCCTACTGTTTATGGGGATTTCCCCCAAAATGCATGTGGGGAGGGGAAGGAGGGAGTAGGGGTACTTTCACATGGTACTTACGTCCTGTGTAAGCAGGTAAGGGAAAAATCCAGTGAAACCTGAGTTACCACCATTAATGAGATCCTCTTTAAGTCCCAGGTAAGGACTGGGAAAGGCCACAACATTTAGGTTTTTGTCTTCTCCAGCCTTCCAGTTATTTAGTCAGTAGAGGTGAAGCTCTTATACCCAAACCTCACTTCTTTTTTCTCCCATAATATAGGTGTCAAAATAAGCCCTGGCTGGTGTAGCTCAGTGGATTGAGCATGGGCTGCGAACCAAAGGGTCGCCTGTTTGATTCCCAGTCAGGGCATGTGCCTGGGTTGTGGGCCAGGTCCCTAGAGGGGGCCACGTGAGAGGCAACCACACATTGATGTTTCTCTCCTTATCTCTCTCCTCCTCTCTCTAAAAATAAATAAATAAAATCAAAAATATATATAGGTGTCCAAATGAAGTTGAATTAACAGAAGAATGGATAAACAAAATGTGGGTATACCCATTCAACAGAATAGTGTTCAGTCATATGAAGTTCTGACATAGAGGCAGAAAGTAGAACAGATCACCAGGAACTATGGGGAGGAGGGAATGAGAAGTTACTGCTTAGTGGGGTGACAAAAAATTTTAAAATATAGTGTAGTTTCACAACATTGTGAATGTAATTAATGCTAATGAACTGTACACTTAAGATGGTTAAATGGCAAATTTTATATTATATATATTTTACTTAAAAAAAGAGTGCTTGAGACACGTGTTTATGAACTAAAGTGGGGGGAGTGGTGGGGGAGGGGTGTGCAGGGTGGAGGGGAACGGAGGGGGGAATATAACAAATGTAATGGCATAATCAATAAAATAAAAATATGTATTAAAAATAAATAAAAATACAAAAAAAAAGAGTGAGTTCCAGCCTTGCTTGACAAAAGAGCTCAGTTTGGGGGGCTAAGTAGCAGTAAATCATAGATCTGGAGTCAGAAAAGACCGATGTTATAAGCCCAACTCTTGATTGGCACAGTCCTGTTTCCTTCTCCCAGGCAAGTGCCCAGCCTCTGCCCGAGCTCCTGCCTGCTCATGGCCAGGTTCTCCCAAGGCAGCACAGTCCACCCCTGCAGTGAGCTTAGTGTCTGCAACTACCCCGAATTTCTGGGTGGTCAGAGGCACTCAAAAGGGAACTAGAATGCTGCAAAGGCACCTGACCCACCTCGCAGCTGGGGTTTGTGACCAAGCTAAAATGGTTCCTATTTCCTTTTTCACTTGGTCCCTCCATCCCCAAAGGAAAAAGGACTCATGGACGTGGACAACAGTGTGGTGATTGCTGAGGGGTGGAGGGCAGCAAGAGGGGTATAAGGGGACTTAAGTGGTAATGGAAAAAACATAATAAAGATAAAAAAATGAAATGGTTTCTAAAGACTTGTATTAAATGTAATTGGATATCAGGAGCGATAATTGCCTACTTGGAGAACTGGGTTATTGTCTAAGAGAGAAGCAAGAGCTTTGGCAGAATCTCACATTGTACTGAAATTGGTTGCTTTGTTCATCTGTGCTATATATGCTGCATCTTTACACATGTGCTGTTGATGAGACAGATGCATGAAGCTTTTCTCTTAGGCTGGGCTTGGGCAGCCCTCCTGACTGACAGTTTTGGTGGGAGGCGGGGGCCAGTGACCAACAAACATTGACTGATAACTGATGCTGACAAGATTTTTGTCAGCAGCAGGAGGAGGCGAGAGGCCTCAGATATAAGACTCAGCTATAGCGAAGCAAAACCCTGTGCTAAATAACCAGTTCTTTCCCCCCTGGATGGCATAAAGTCAAACCACAATGATTAGGAGTTATTCCCTAGCTGTATCTTATCCATCTCAGTTCACCAGAAAAATCACATAGAATGTAACAACCCAAAGGAGGCTTAAATTTTTAAAAAATTTATTTACTTTTAGAGAGAGGGGAAGGGAGGGAGAAAGAGGGGGAGAGAAACATCAGTGTGTGGTTGCCTCTCATGCGCCCTGTACCGAGGACCTGGCCTGTAACCTAGTCCTGTGTCCTGA